ATAAACAATGCATATCTAATTTTTGGTCTACAATGGAAAGGCTATATTTTAATGAGACCGTTTTATTTAATTTTAAGTTAAATGTATACAATATTTTAATTAAATTACACTTAAATTAAACCAAATATATTTTAGTCGACAAAATCTCGAGTAGACTTAGGCCGAACTCACACTAGGTACAGTTGCTTCGAACAGGGCCAAAGCACGCTTGTCCCCCCTCCCGTCTCCCCCGACGGCCCGCACTCACACCATATCTGGCCTCGGCACGCTTACGTCATCGCTGCTGCGCTGTTCAGTGAGAAGCGCTCTCACTCAGCAGCACAGTGGAGATTTCTCTAGTTATATCGTGTCAGTCGTTTGATATGCAGTGACATGCAGTCAAATATTTCGCTAAACAGTCCTTAGGGATGCGGTGACACGCAGTCCGATATTTCGCCGTGCTGCAGGAATGAGGAGGTCTGCTGAAGGCGCGCAGCTGTCATGCTGTGAGGAGTTTGCGTCTTTATTAAACTACGGCAGTTTGCGTTCACTGAACAGTAAGAATGATTAATAAATCCATATGAAACAGTCCCTTAAAAGTCACGTCTCGCTTTCAGTTTCGGGCTTTGGCGTGTTTTGCACTCACACACAAGTGTACCGCGCCAAAGCCCAAGTGAACCGCACTCAGGCCCACCTCTTCCAACAGGGCCAGTTCCGGCCAAGTGAACCGTGCTTGAACCCGATTCAGCGCACTCACACTTCTCAAACGATCCGGGAAACAGGCCTGGGCACGATACGAATGGCATAGTGTGAGTAGGCCCTTAGTCGACTAAAATCTTTTAAAATTTAGTCGACTAAAACTAAAATGATTCAGAAGACTAAAAACTAAATCAAGATTTGCTGTCAAAATTAACACTGCAAAACAGCACAATTTGGACAGAGACTTATTTTACATCTTGTTAAAAGGGGCATAATAGGTCCCCTTTAATGCAACCTACAAATAAAATTATAATCGACTTTAATAAAAATAAAGTTCTTCAACCTAAACGTGAAGTAGAACATCACAGTCCATCAAAAAGCCAAAACCCCACTCACTGAACACACACTGATTCTCCAGTTGGCTGTTTATGCGCTGATGGAGCTCGTAGATGTCTCATCATGTTGCTCTCCGCTTTCTCTCCTGTAATGAAGAACCAGGATAACATCAGATCTGCAGTGTCTGTATAACTATAGTGGCTCTGAAGGGCACAAAGACCATCTATCAAAAGAGTATTCTCATTTCCTCCAGCTATCAGACACCCATTGTTAAAGCTTCTATTCTGAATTCACTGTTTTTCAAGATAGACTCTCCAAACTGCAGTTTGTGAATGAATAATAATCTATCGGTCGTATCTCGCCCTCTATTCCCTTAAACTGTCTGTTTGTCTTTTTTATCCTTTATTCAGTCGGAGCTGTCGTATTAGTCTGTGTCTTATCTGACATGCTTTTTTATTCTCTCCATAGAAAACCCATCAGAGCGCCCTGCAGGTCCAGCAGAAAGCCGAAGCCCTGCTGCAGGCCAATCACTACGACATGGACATGATTCGAGACTGCGCGGAGAACGTGGCTTCCCACTGGCAGCAGCTCATGCTGAAGATGGAGGACCGGCTCAAGCTGGTCAACGCCTCCGTGGCCTTCTATAAGACCTCTGAACAGGTCAGTCCAAGTTGATAACTGTAAAAATCATATAAAAACAAGTCTTGAAAATGTAAAAGCATTAAATGGAGTTAGAATGAGCCTATAATTTAAGTTATGAACACAAAATTGGTGTTTTTGTACTAAAAAAGGTGATCATTAAAGGGATAGTTCACCCACAAACTGACATTTTTTAAAGAGCCCCTATTGTGGGTTTTCGAAAATGAGCTTCCATGTAGTGTGTAACACAGATCTAAGTGAAGTGAAATATCCAGCTAAGGCTTAAATCTGAAAGTGGACAGTTTTTAAAAATATTGATTCATCTAATAAAAGAGTCGACTCATAGTGGTTAGAATGAATCGTCTTCATAACGAGTCTTTAGCTGTTTTGGCGTGACGAGACTACGAAACATAGTTGTTATGGGCGCAAACCCGGGAAAATTTAGGGTGCTTTCACACCTACAATTTTGTTTCGGAATGTGTCTCGATTGCCCAGTTAGCGCGGTTCGTTTGGCATATGTGAACAGGGCAATCGCGCTCTGTTCCGCGCCGAAGTAATCGCTCCGAGATCGCTTGAATGAGGTGGTTTCGGCTCGATTGAAACAATCCCTGGAGCGGTTCGATTGCAGTGAGAAAGCGATCCGATCCGAGCGCGGTTATATCACAGTGTTTTATGGATATGTAATAGGCATACGGCTATATGAAGAGAGAATTATGAGTAGGGCGGGAAGTTACCCGAGTCTCCGGATGCCCGCAAACGAGTGATGATCTCCCGGTAATCTTGCCTCTCCCTCCCGGTCCTCAAATAGGCATCGTCGCACACCCTTCTCACCCCTCCCCACCGCATCTCTCCTCAGACACGTCGCTCGCGCACCCTGTCAATCAGCACCAAACCACCACCTCTCCTGACAGCTGAGCGGGACGCTGCAAAATAAACCCTGACACTCTGACCAATGTGAGGAGAGTTTACTCGCATGTGACTTGTTTTAGCTCTTTTGGTCCGATTAGAAACTTTGCAGTGTGAAGGTGAACCGCTCCAAGAGCAAAGAGCAACAATGTAACATTTGTAATCTCTGTTTTGGAACAACTGAATCGATTCACAGGTGTGAAAGCACCCTTAAACCTGCGCCCCGCCCACTAACACAGCAGCGAAGACAAACAGATCCTGAAGTCATGAGTGAAGAAGACACTGTGCCTACCTGGATATTACTGGAAATGTGAGGGGAAATAATTGATTCAGCAGTCTTCACGCTTACAGTGGGCGATTCATTCGTTTGTTAAAGAAGGATCAGAAAAGACTGGTGTATGAGACTTGTGAGAATGGGCAGACAATACACCAGGGGTGCTTTCAAAATAAGGCCAGTTTATTAGGCACAAAGGCAGCCTGCTACACGCTAAGGAGAAGCGTGGTGAGCACTACAACACCCTGGCTGGGGATGGGATCTTTGGGCAAAGCAGAGTACAGGTAAGCCCTGAGAACATATAACACTTCACGCAAGAGGTGCCACAGCAATGATTGCCAATAGAAATGATCTAAGTTACAGCTGAGAAGGGAGAAAAGCTCGGTCACGGAAATCACGCTAAGTAAATGATGTGCATGCTATCGGTTTCATTTTCACTGCTAAGTGCGGTTCATACTTCCCGTGCGGGGGGTTATGACGGTCACGGGTTATCGCGTGGGCCCGTCCCCCAGGGGCTTGACAAACCACGCTGGGCATTTGTCTAGCGCTGAACGCTGTCGACCAATCGCAACAGGCTGTCATCAGTCCAATCAGCGCAGATTAGCTTATTAGGGGTTTGGGAACAAATGAATTGCTGAACGATTCATATGGGAGTTGCTGGAATAATGGGGTAAAAATAAATGCATATTATAAGACCATGAAAGTGTTTTTTGATCTTGCATGCATATCAGTATGTTGGAGATCCATATAACTGAAATATGACCCTTTTTCATGTATAATATGGGCTCTTTAACTGTTTACTCACCCTCAAGTGATTCCAAACCTTTATGAGTTTCATTATTCTGTTGAACAGCAAAAGAAGATATTTTGAAAAATGCTTAAAATCATTGACTTCCTTAGTAGGAAAAACAGATACTGTGGAAGTCGATGGTTACAGGTTTGTAATATTTTTCACAATATCTTCTTTCTTATTAAAGAAACTCAAACAGGTTTAAAACAAGTGAAGGATGAGTAAATGATGTTACAGTTCAAATTTATGGTTTAATCATTCTTTTATGTAATATCACACAAGCGGGTCCACGTGCGTGATGTAAATAAAGTTTGCGTGGCTTCAAAAGGGTCATGGTGGCACTGGCCCACTCAGATTGAAGGCTGACCCACTCACACTAAAATATTTTAAAGCTGAAAAATGTAACGGATGTAAAGCAGAATATGAATGTAAGTTAATGTTGACTATTAATAGTAACCATAAGTTTATAAGTTTGTCAGTCGAATTAAAATTCCCCCTTCCCTTCATTGCACAAAAATGGAACAGTCCAACTGTTGCTCCATCCTTTGCGCTGATGAGCGCTGTTTTCACTATATTTGACTTTGAGGCAAAAGCTCTGAAAATGAAACCAAAAGTGCTGTCTAGCGGACTATTCTGATGTGCTGGTCATCGACGTTACAAGTAATGAAATGAGTTTTATAAGAGAGGAATGATATTAATCTGATTTAACTTGTTTTCAGCATTAAATGAAATGCCTTAATGTGAACGTATGTGTTTATTCATTTATATTATTTATTTATATTAATTTTTTAAGAGTATAGGGTTATTTAAAATACACTTAATTTATAGTTATTAAGCATCTGAACATCTTTATGAATGGGCTTAATTCAGTATTCTTGTACTTCACTGTATTTAATCAATGTATAGATTATTTGGTTGAATTTGAAGTGTAAAACGGCGCCGTAACTGTTTTACGCTTCACTGGTGAACATTACTGATCTGTATGCGCCACTTTCTCTCAGATTCTCGACACATTTTCGCTATTTATTTATTATGCAAAATGAGGGTTATACTCAAAAATGTCACATACTAAATTAATTACTATTTTATCAGAAAACATAAATATAAGACTATTCACACTAGTTTAAGAGTAGGCACTAAAGGTCCACCCTAACTCTAAATATCATATAAAAACAAGTCTTGAAAATCCAAAAGCAATAAATGGAGTTAGAATGAGCCTATAATTTAAGCTATGAACACAGTATTAGTGTTTTGTATAGAAAAAAAAGGGATTGTTAAAAGGATAGTTGGACGACCAAGTGGCGCAGTAGGCGCAGTAGGTAGTGCTGTCGCCTCACAGCAGGAAGGTTGCTGGATCGCTGGTTTGAGCCTCGGCTCAGTTGGTGTTTCTGTGTGGAGTTAAGCCTGGTTTATACCTGCTCCAAGTGACCGGCGTAACCCACGACGCATGCAACGCGCGTAGCTGTGCATTTACTTCTGCGCGCTGTCTCTGTTGTTCTGCATTAACACTTCTGAAACGCTAGTTGGCAGTGAGGTGTTAATGCTCCTCTGTGTCGAGTTTCTTCGCTGCTGTTTTGCTTATCCTGAACACTTCTGGGATGTACAAGTGGCTCAAACTCGCTCATTTTGAGGCAGGAACCGGCGGACGTGCAACAACTTTAACTATGAGGTAAACACAAAACAAAACTTTCCATCCGGAGCTCCTTCACGGGACTCCACATTTGTAAACAATCGCTCCATCAGGCTCGCACCATTCACCTGGCTCTCAGTCCCGCCCAGACTCGTCAGCGCTACCAAGCCGACCAATCACAGAGCTTGCGCTACGCGTCGTTGCAACGTGTAGTTAGATTTTTTTGAGAGGTGCACGTCAGCGACGCCGACGGCCACGGCGAAGGGGTATGCGTCAGCGCCGTAGCATACGCCGGCGTTTGATGCAGAAGTATAAAGAAGCCTTTCCACCGGGTGCTCCGGTTTCCCCCACACTCCAAAGACATGCGGTACAGGTGATTTGGGTAGTGTATGAGTGTGTGTGAATGTGTGTGTGGATGTTTCCCAGAGATGGGTGGCGGCTGGAAGGGCATCCGCTGCATAAAAACTTGCTGGATAAGTTTGCGGTTCATTCCGCTTTGGTGACCCCAAATTAATAAAGGGACTAAGCCGACAAGAAAATGAAGGAAAAGGATAGTTCACCCTATTTCAGCAAGATTTCTGGTCTCCCACTTTTTGCGGACCATATATAGGACTAGAGAAACGCTTTTGAGGACCAGACCCAGCACCCATCACAACCCACCCCCTGCTTTTCCTGAACTCACAAGCTAAAGTGACACCATCACCTGATTATGTTGTCCGGTTCCGTGTGTTACTGAAGACCAACAACTGACCATCCGGCAGTTCTAACCCTAACAAAAATGAAAATTTTGAACAGAATCTGAACATTCAGTGTACATTTGGCTGTAAGCTGAATACCAAAATAATTGCATGGTTATATATTTTCACTTTTGGCCAAAAAAATGAACAATAATGCAAACAGATGTAATTGCTATCCAAGAAATCCCTAAATAAAATGGCAATCCAACATTTTTGTCAATATTTCTCACCCTTATTGTGCATTTTGCCATTGAATGCTCTTTATCATCATCCAGCCAACATTCAGTGAGATAACAGCAATTAAGAAAGCATCTGCTTATTAGAAGTATCCATATCTACAATATAACAAGCAAAATCAGTTCTAGTGTTGAAGAAAAAAAAAAATCTAGCCTCAGAGCCACCTGCCTATTATATATATATATATATATATATATTTTTTTTTTTTTTTTTTTTTTTTTTGAATATGCAAAAATCATACAAATACAAGAAAACATCAACAGATATCAAATACAAAGCAACAAAACAAAAACAAAACAAAAACATCAACAATATAGTCAGGTACTGGTATGTGCGTGAGTGTGTGCGTGTGAGTGTGTGTATGCATGTAAAGGTAACTTGGTGGACAGGTCAGAGTACATACATAAGGAACAATAACAGTCAATAAATGAAGCAAGTGTCACAGATATAGATAAAACATATAGAAAGAAACCAGTCAGAGGTAGGGAGTAACAACAATGCTTATTAATGTATGATAGTAAATATGAGAGTAAAAAGAGAGAAAGGACAACAGTAATAACTGACAACAATAATAATAAATCACAAGTGCTACACCAACTACTACTACAGAAAGTTTCTTATATTACAACTACTACTGCTTCTACTACAGCTACAACCACGACTACTACTACTAAAGTGTCTACTAATACTGATACTACTACAACGACTACCACTACAATGTCTACTGCGACTACTACTACTACTACTACAATCACTTCTACTACATCTACATCAACAACATCTACTACTGATATTACTACCAACAACGACTACTACTACTACTGTAACTACCACACCATTACTACTTCTGCTACTACTATACCAATGACATCTACTACTACATGAACTACAACTTCTATAATCTCCGTAACAATTACTCAATAACAATCGATACTATTACAATGACTACTACTTCATCTACTACTACTACTACTACAACTACTACCGTTACAACTACAACAACTTCAACCTTACTAATGATAATGGTGTAAATACTTGTAATAATGATAATGAAAAGATAACAGGACAAGTCAGAACAGTAATAATAATAATGATAACAAAAAATAAAAGTAATACCATTTATGACAAAGATGTCGAGGAAAGGGGAGGATGGGAAATCAGGGAGAGGACAAGTAATAATAATAATAATAATAATAATAATAATAATAATAATAACAATAATAATAATAATAAATAATAATAATAGTAGTAAGTAGTAAGTAGAAGGGGAAAGAGAGGAAAAGAGAAAATAAACTAATAATAATAAACAAAAATTAATAAAATAATTAATTAATAAATAATTAATAATTAAACTGCCTATTATATTTATATACACTAGGGGTGTCCAAACTTGGTCCTGGAGGGACGGTGTCCTGCATAGTTTAGTTCCAACTTCCTTCAACACACCTCCTTGGAAGTTTCTTGTATACCTAGAAAGAGCTTGATTAGCTTGTTCAGGTGTGTTTAATTAGGGTTGGAACTAAAATATGCAGGACACCGACCCTCCAGGACCAAGTTTGAACACCCCTCATATACACAGTGTATACTTTTGCCAGAGTTAAATTTTCATAGAAGCAGTTTACTTTTGATCTCCTGATTCAATCTCCAAACAGAGTGTTTTGGTCACTAACTCATTCTTCTATTGGGCTTTAAGTATGTTAGAATCTTGAAACGGGTCTCTTGAAAGCTGACGTGTGTGTGTGTGCTGTAGGTTTGCAGTGTTCTGGAGAGTCTGGAGCAGGAGTACAAGCGTGAGGAGGACTGGTGCGGAGGAGCTGACAAACTGGGACCCAACTGTGAATCGGACCACGTCACACCCATGATCAGCAAACACCTGGAGCAGAAAGAGGCTTTCCTCAAGGTAACCCATCCAAAGCCAGAACACACACCGTCTGTTGTGACCGTGTGGGCTAATATGTCCGTCTCTGTTTCAGGCCTGCACGTTGGCCAGGCGTAATGCAGACGTCTTCCTCAAATACATGCACAGGAACAGCGTCAGCATGCCCGGGATGTTGAGTCACGTCAAAGCTCCAGAGCAGCAGGTCAAAAGTGAGTCACGGACCACAACTCTACATCTCAAGAGACACCTGACTATATATATATATAAATATACATATAAATTGGGGATAAAAAATATACAGCAGGGCTAATAATTCTGACTTCAACTCTATAATAAACACAGAGCTCCTTGAATGTCCAAGTAGTATTTAACGTCCTGTTCCTCATCTCAAAGCACAAGTCTGCATCTGCTGCCGCTTCGCATGTTCTGCTCTTATTTACCAGTCCTCTCCTCTGCTGAGAACACAGTCTGTCGTCCCCCGTGGGGCTTTCATGATGGTTCGCTCTAAAATGGCTTTGTTGCTCCATCTAGTGGCTGATCTGTGCTCTGCGTCCTCATGACTTTCAGCTCTGGCCCACTTTTGCCTGCTTTAGCCCAGTTTAGGATGTGTGCGCATTGTGGATGGGGCTCTGTTCTGTTCAGCTTGTGCCGACAATGACTCAGATATGGAAAGTGTAAATGGGTCAGGCCTCGAAAATGGCTGATAGTAGTTCTCCATTGGGATGCTATACCTTCATGCTACACACACACACACACACACACACAGATGTATGTTACATCTATGGAGGTTTTATTTAATAATCATTATAATAATGGTGATGATTGGGTTTTTGTACCATTAAAGTAATAATTAATAAATGTATAGCTTTGTAGTAATTTTTATTTTATATTTAAATAATGTTTAAAATGTCATGATCTTGTAAGATATAATTTTTTTTATTCAATTTATTATTATTATTATTATTAATGTTATTATTATCTGCCATAAAAGTATGTATAATTTATTATAAAATATTTTGTTTTCATTATTTTATTATATATATATATATATATATATATATATATATATTTATTTATATATATATATATATATATATATATATATGTATAATTATAATTATTTATAATTAAATAAAATTTAATTAATTATTTATTAATTATAAAATTTATAATTTTATTTATCTGAATAAATGAATAATTAATTAATTAAAATGAATAATTTTATTATATATTAGCATTTTTATCAGGGATTATTGTTTATTTTTATTTATTAAAAGAGATGACTAAGTAATTCGTTTCTTACATCACTGCAGATCAGGCAAAAGTCAGCAGTTAATAGTCTAAATAGTATTTAAGTCAGTATTTAATATATCTTGCCTTCAGAGCCATTAAAACTTGATAGATAGATAGATAGATAGATAGATAGATAGATAGATAGATAGATAGATAGATAGATAGATAGATAGATAGATAGATAGATAGATAGATAGATAGATAGATAGATAGATAGATAGACGGATGGATGGATGGATGGATGGATGGATGGATGGATGGATGGATAGATAGATAGATAGATAGATAGATAGATACAGAGACATCTGATTAATTCATTAACAATCTGCATTTTTTAAGTTTTTTACTTATGTATTTTTAATAATACACAATAATTAAGATATTAATAATAAGGTATTTTCGTATGTTTGTCTAGAGTAGATCTCTGCTGACCATGGCTAAGGTTCATATCATATGTGATGTTTGTAGATATCCTGAATGAGCTGCTGCAGAGGGAGAACCGCGTGCTGCACTTCTGGACTATGAGAAAGAGGAGGCTGGACCAGTGTCAGCAATACGTGGTGTTTGAACGCAGCGCCAAACAGGTTTGACTTACTTCTTCATTCAGATTATTAAGTTTCTGCTGCACACCTCTTATTAAACGGCACAGAGACATAATTTATTTACAGAAACTCTACCATTTTCAACTGATTTAAATTGATTGTTTTTATTCTCTTTGTGTGCGCGAGTCTTCATATGCCATAGCAATGTGTTTTTATGGGTATCTTCTGTTTTTGCACAGTCATGCTAATGACAAAAGAAATCAAACACTGATTTTAAGATTAGCATAAACTGCACAGGAATACCTCTCATTTTTAAAGTTTTATATATGTGCATTTATTTTTCAAATTAGCTCATTTTTACATTTATTTATTATTTTTTTAAGCTTTTGATGTTTTTTGTTTTTTTTATTTATTTATTTTTTATCTTTATTTTTTGTTGATTTTATTTATTTATTTTTAGCCTTTGTTTTTTGTTGATTTCTTTTTTAAAGTGTGTTTTGTTGTTGGTGGTGCTTTTAATGTTTTTATTTTAATTTCTTTATTTTTAGTCTTTGTTTTTTGTTGATTTTTATGTGTATTTTGTTTGTTTATGCTTTTATTTTATTTTCTTTATTTGTTTTATTTTTGGTCTTTATTTTTCGTTGATTATATTTATTTATTATTTGTTGATGTTCATGTTCATCTATTTTTTTTTTTTTTGAAAACCAAAAAGCAAACAAACCAAATGTTGAAATGTATAAATCTATCCAAAATCTACACCAAGACAAAAATAATTAACTATTAAAAGTCATAAAAAGAAGTTCAAGTTTACCTTTTTTAATTTAATTTTTTAATTTTTTGATGCATGTTAGTGCAAAAGTAGTTGAAAGCAGAAATTTTAATCCATTCATTTTATTTATATTATTCATATTTTGTTTTTTGTTTTTTTGTGTAATGTTTAGATTTGTGAGAATTAGTCCTTGTTTTAGTTTGTTTGTTTGTTTGTTTTTGGAAAGATTAAAACATTTAATTTATTGATTGTTCTGATTGTTGTGGAATTTGGTATGTGAAAAATTAATATTGACAAAAAATAATGCCTATTTATTTAAGATATATGTAGATATGTTTAGCTGCTTTAAAATCTTCTTCTTCTTCTTCTTCTTCTTCTTCTTATTATTATTATTATTATTATTATTATTATTAATATTATTATTTGTATCTTTTTAGCATTTAGCATCAATTACCCTTGACACATGTGAAGAATGCTTATTTGAGGTGTGTTTTCATCTCTCTGCTCAGGCTCTGGAGTGGATCCACGACACTGGCGAGTTTTATCTGTCCACACACACGTCCACCGGCTCCAGCATACACCACACACAGGAGCTGCTGAAGGAGCACGAGGACTTCCACATCACAGCCAAGGTACCACTGCATGCATTATGACTTCCAGTGCCACTCTCACACTAATAAAACTCTCAAACTCATTTAGTTTTGCCCCAATCCCGCATGCAAAAGCATCTTCATCACCAAATCTCTTTCTCTTCCTCTTCCTCTTCCTCAGCAAACCAAAGAACGGGTGAAGCTGCTGATCCAGCTGGCAGATGGTTTCTGTGATAAGGGTCACTCTCACGCCGCTGAGATTAAGAAATGGGTGACAGCGGTGGACAAACGCTATCGAGATTTCTCGCTCCGCATGGACAAGTACCGCACATCTCTGGAGAAAGCACTCGGCATCTCCTCAGACTCCAATAAAGCTGTATGTGTTTCTCTGCTCGTGTTGGTCTATGTATGAGTGCATATGGTGAGATGAACATAAGCTAGCTGAATTATAGGGGTCATAAATTTACTTTGAAGCAAACACTGAGCTGATTATATGGGGGACACAAAAAAAATATATCGCCATATTTCACCCAAAATTCAAATTTGTGCACCTTTTTATATATATATTTTATATATATATATATATATATAAATAAATATATATATATATATATATATATATATATATATATATATATATATATATATATATATATATATTTTTTTTTTTTTTTTTTTTTTTTGATATGTTTATATTTAGCAAGTTATTACGCAACACAGTTTTCTAAAAAAAAAACGAAACAATATATTATGTATTGAAAAAATGATGTATTTGTTTAAATTTAACAAGTTATTTAAAATTTTAATTACATTTATCAAATTATTACACAACAGTTTTTTTGAAAAACATTTTTTTTATTAGTTAATATATAACGGATGAATACGCACCGGTTTTCTCCCTAAATTAAATGTCATTTTATTTATTTTTGTTGTTATTTAAATTTTTAATGTAACAAATTAACACCGTTTTCTCCAAGAGCGTTTTTTATTAAAATAAAAATAATTATTGACCAAAAATTGTATTTGTTTTAATTTAACAAAGAATTTTCCAGAAGCAAGTTTTATTTATTTAATTTTGTTTAAATGTAGGAATGGAGAAAACTGTGTTGCATAATCAAAAACAATTTTTTTATTTTATCATTTTATTTTATTAATGTAACAATTTTTTTTTACAAATAACACTTTATTTTATTTTTTATGTAAAAAATAATTACCCAACAGTTTTCTCCAAATAACATTTTATTTTATTTTATTTATTTTTATGTAACAAATAATTATCCAACCGTTTTCTCCAAAAAACACTTTTTTATTTATATATTTTTTATGTTACAAATAAATACTCAACAGTTTTCTCTAAAAAACATTTTATTTCATTTTTTATTATTATTTATAATGTAACAATTACCCAACAGTTTTCTCTAAAAACATTTTATTTTATTTTTTATTATTTTTTTATGTAACAATTACCCAACAGTTTTTTCCAAAACATTTTACTTGATTTTTTTATTGTTTTATTTTTAATGTAATAATTACTCCACAGTTTTCTCCAAAAAACATTTTATTTTATTTAAGTTTAGTTTAGTTTAGTACATTAAATAGATTGTTTTCATGCACAATTGTTAATAGACAAAAAAAAATATTTTTTTTTATAATCAAGATCACTGTTCATGCACAATTCTGAATATAGAGCTTACCAAAATAAATAAAATAGAACTTTTTTATCTCAAGTTATCTGTGTTTGATATTTAATTTTATTTTATCGAAGTGTATTGTTTAGATCATTTTCTAACTTTAACTTAATTTACTACAGGTTTTTTCACCTCAAGTTATCCTTATGTAAACATGCACACATAAAAAAAGAACAGAAAAAATATGTGAAAATAGTCCTTTAGGAAGTCTATATTTAGATTTCTGTGCAACTAAAATGTGTGCGGTTTTTTTTTGTTGTTGTTGTTGTTGTTGTTTTTTTCAGAGCAAAGACTTGCAGCTGGACATCATCCCTGCCAGTGCTCCGGGGTCAGAGGTCAAACTCAGAGACGCTGCTCATGAGCTCAATGAAGAGAAGCGCAAGTCTGCCCGCAGGAAGGAGTATGTCTATAGATTTACTGTCACCCATTGACTCAAGAGACGATGAAATATTCAATAGTTTGTGTAAGTTTTAGATAGAAAAAAATAATTGTTGTTTTCATTTAAATAGCTTCATCATGGCTGAGCTGATCCAGACAGAAAAGGCCTATGTGCGAGACTTGAGAGAGTGCATGGACGTGAGTACTTTATTCTGGTCATATTATAAGTGTGTTTTTTAGTAAAAGCCTGATTCCTCCACACCATAAACAATACTGTCTTTATTTTGTGCAACTCCGAGTTCATATCTCACAATTCTGGCATTTAAAGTATGCATAATCTAAATATAAATAAATAAATGTAATAAAATATAAGTATAATTGTGACTTTTTTCTCACGGTTGCGAGTTTGTAAGTTTTCCTGAAATTCTGTTGTTGTTTGTTTTTTGTTTTTTTTCCTTGCAATTCTGATTTAGGCCCCGTTTACACTAGTGCCTTTTAGTTTTAAAACGGCGTTTTAGAATGAAAACGATCCGCGTCCACACTTGCGTTTTACCCAGCGTTTCTGAACAGCTCTCCGTCCACACCAAAACGCTGAAAACGCACATCACGTGACCACACACACACTTTCGGGCAAGCGCTGCAGCATTTCTACCTAGATGAGAGCTCTGCTAGTCGGACTGCTCATCAAGCATCTCCCGCTGGATCTAATCTCACTATATTGGCTAAACGTGATATTTCATTCATGTTGTTGTCTTTATCTAACGACATATTCCCTGACTTTGGTCATTGGAATCTATTACTTGTTCACAGGTAACTTGTTTTGTTAAGCGCAAAGATAAATTAATGATTAATCCATGTACATAGACTGATCGCTTGCCTTTATTTCCTATAATGTAGAAACTTATTGTATGTTATACTTTTATAATGGCCATTATTGATTATTAAAACTGATATTCAGCAAAAGAGAGGGTGTGTTTCGTATTTTCACTGAAATTGAAAGGAGACAGTTGTTATCGGCTCCGTTTTGTTATAAATGTCCACACAGTGAAGATGACGCTCATATATGCAGCACAACGCCTCAACATTTCTGCTGTCTAAGGGTTCTTTCACACCTACACTTTTGTTTCGGAACGTATCTCGTTTGCCCAGTTAGCGCGGTTCGATTGGCATATGTGAACAGGGCAATCGCTCCAAAGTAATCGCTCCGAGATCGCTTGAATGAGGTGGTCTCGGCTCGATTGAAACGAAGCCTGGAGCGGTTCGATTGCAGTGAGAAAGCGATCAGATCCGAGCGCGGTTATATCACAGTGTTTTATGGATATGTAATAGGCTTACGGCTATATGAAGAGAGAATAATGAGTAGGGCGGGAAGTTTCGCGAGTCTCCGGATGCCCGCAAACGAGTGATGATCTCCCGGTAATCTCGCGTCTCCCTCTCGGTCCTCAAATAGGCATCGTCGCGCACCCTTCTCACCCCTCCCCACCGCATCTCTCCTCAAACACATCACGCGCGCGCACCCTGTCAATCACCACCAAACCAACACCTCTCCTGACAGCTGAGCGGGACGCTGCAATTTAAACCCTAACACTCTGACCAATGTAAGGCGAGTTTACTCACACGTGACTTGTTTTAGCTCTTTTGGTCCGATTAGAAACTTTGCAGTGTGAAGGTGAACCGCTCCAAGAGCAAAGAGCAACAATGTAACAATTTTAATCTCTGTTTCGGAACAACTGAATTGATTCACAGGTGTGAAAGCACCCTAAGTTGCTAATATTAAAATGAAAATAGGCAGTTCCTTAAATCATGTTTACATTTTATTGTTGAGAAAGTGAAACAACGTAGCCAGGGTGATGTGAATGAAGCTATAAAGTACACTGTTCCCTTTGAAGATTTACGCGTGTCCTCGGTATGTTTTCCATATCAAACTGAGAAGGGGGAGACTGCAGCCTTGATCAATCTTGCGAAGTCTTAACTTACAAGAAGAGGATGCGAGACTGAACTGTGTGTTAGGCTACTTAATATTGAGGAAAAGCCCCAATCAGATAGGCAAACGCCGGCAGCCCCGCCTCCGTTTTCAGATGTCTCCGTCTTTCCCCATCCACACTGAGACGGAGCAGCAGCGTTTTAGAATGAAAATGGCCTCTCCAGCGTTTTCAAAACGCTCCGTTTTCGGCGCTCGAGAACTCCGGCGTAGTGTGGACGGATGGCGTAACCGTAGCAAAACTTCAATTCAATTCAATTCAATTCAGCTTTATTTGTATAGCGCTTTTACAATGTAGATTGTGTCAAAGCAGCTTCACATAAATGGTCATAGTAACTGGAACAGTGTAGTTCAGTTTTTTAGTGTTTAAGTTCAGTTCAGTTCAGCTCAGTTCAGTGTGATTTAATCATTACTGAGAGTTCAAACACTGAAGAGCAAATCCATCGATGCGTAGCTCTACCAATCCTGAACCATGCGAGGCAGTGGCGACAGCGGAGAGGGAAAAAAAAACTTCACCTGATGGGAGTGAAGAAAAAAAAACCTTGAGAGAACCAGATTCAGTTGGGCACGAGCATTTTAATATCTCCGCTGGCCAAAAGTCTTGTTCAGGGCTTCAGTCGCCGTTTTTAAACAAAAACGCATTAGTGTAAACAGGGCCTTAGATCTGAATTTTTATCATGTATTAATGTAAAAAATATCTAAACTATTAATCTAAGCAAAAGAAACTGGCATCAATTATAAAAGCAGACACTTACATGCTATCACGCCTTCGCTGTTGACTAAATTGCTGAGGAATACCCTCAAGATAAATGTAAACATTGAATTGGAGCTCTGACAGGGACATGACGTTTTTAAATGGCTAAAAATAGTAGCTCCAGGTACAGTATATAGATCGCAAGTTTATAGAATTTACAGTTTGTGGTCATACCTCTGTTTTGTTTTGTTAATATGTGATCCAATGATGACTGGGGCTCTGCTGCATTTTTATGGACAGCCCAGTACAGCTGCCATTATGGCCCAATGTTTCGTTTTTTTGCCCGCCGGATCTCCGCAAAGGTCGCGTGACTGAAAATTATCAATATGATATAATGATCCTATAATTTTGACTTTGTGACTTTCTCACAATCCAGATCTAATATATAACAATTTTTAACAATTATTATTATTATTAGTTAAATTGCAACTTATTTGTCATGGTTGCAGTTTCTTATATCTTTATTTCTCCATACTGTGTCTTTATTTCTCACAATCCTGAGTTTATATCTTACAATTTTATTATATCTCACTAATAACATTCTTTCTTTTCCTTCCTGCAGACGTATCTGTGGGAGATGACCAGCGGCGTGGAGGAGATCCCACCAGGCATCGTCAACAAAGAGCACATCATTTTTGGTAACATGCAAGATCTGTACGAGTTCCATCACAAGTGAGTTCAATCTTTCAGCCTGAATCAATCCTGCCGTCCAGCATTCATTCAATCATTCATCCAGGCGCTATAATCAGAGACTCTTCTCATGTGTATCTTCATCTATCTCCAGTATATTCCTCAAAGAGCTGGAGAAATACGAGCAGCTTCCTGAAGATGTGGGCCACTGTTTTGTGACTTGGGTGAGTAAATTGTAATTGTATATACAGTTGAAGTCAGAATTATTAGACCCCTGTTTATTTTTTCCCCGATTTCTGTTAAACAGAGAAGATTTCTTTCAACACATTTCTAAACATAACAGTTTTAATAACTCATCTCTAATAACTGATTTATTTTATCTTTGTCTTGATGACAGTAAATAATATTTTACTACATAATTTTCAAGACAATTCTATACAGCTTAAAGTGACATTTAAAGGCTTTACTAGGTTAATTAGGCAGGTTAGGGTAATTAGGCAAGTTATTGTATAACGATGGTTTGTTCTGTTGACCATCGAGAAAATATAGCCTAAAGGGGCTAATAATTTTGACCTTAAATTGGTGTTTAAAAAAATTATAAAATTCCTTTCTCTGTTAAACATCATAATTTTTTTTTCTTTTCTCAATTGATGTTTGTTTTTATGTATTTATTTTAATTTTTCATATATTTGACATTTGTTCTGTATTTAATTATTTTTTTATATATATTACTAAGACAAATTGCTTGTATGTGCAGACACACTTGGCAATAAAGCTCCTTCTGATTTTAATGCTTTGGGATTTGTAAGTGTTAAGATGTCTCTGTATTGACTTTCTCCAGGCTGATAAGTTCCAGATGTATGTGAACTACTGCAAGAACAAACCAGACTCCACTCAGCTTATTCTTGAACATGCCGGAGGATACTTCGACGTAAGACATCTTTCTGTTTTGAGCAATGTTTTGCATTTCAGTGCTTACAGTGTTTCTCGTCAAAACGAGACGTCTTGTTTTCATCTTCATCTAATGAATTGTGCCAAAGTGATTTTATATTGTATATTTTATAAAGTCTACTCTCAAATAACCTTAGTGAACATAAAATAAATGATGTAACATTGGTCAGCATAATATATATTTCTATCTAGAATGATAAATATCTTTATTCTGAGCTATATATATATATATATATATATATATATATATACATATAAAACTAAATATATTAAACAACAGGTAATCATACAATTTTTAGGTTATTTTATAGTCTAGTATAACAGTTAAAAAAAGAAAATTAAATAGCATTATGTGGTGCTTAAATAGCGTATTAAAATGTCATCAATGATTTATGTGTGTAATATGCTTGAACAAAAGTTTATTTACAAACAATATTGTCATTTAAAAAACTCTTTAATGTCTTTAAATGAGCTTAAAATGAAAGCGTAATGTTTGAAAATTGAGACATTAAGAAATCAAGATGGAATATTGTTTTTAATGACAGAGTTGTAATATAGACCATTTTGAGGAATGTAAACAAAAACAATAGTCTTAATGCATTTCCTTTTTTACATTTTTTTAATTTCTGTCGATCCCGAGAATCCAAAAAGAGCCATATATTGATCAATAGCTGTTATGATAACTGTTTTAACATTAATTTATGATTGAATTGCTTCTTGTTACAGTTATGAAATAAGCTGCGTCCCAAATGGCACACTATACACTATGCACTCATGCATTATGTACTTATGCACTTACACACTCAACAGGATAGCATATGTATGTAGTGTTGTCCCAAATGGCACACTAATGTTTTTTTACTAAGCGGAAATTCAAACCGTTTCCCTGATGACGTTTGACGGTCGCCAAATCAGTGAAATAAACAACGGAATTATCAAATAATACCTGCCGTGAGTATAACCACATTCACCATCAGGAGGCGCTATAATCACTCTCGTAGGAGAATTTTGCTTTCACCATCCAAAATAAATAAAGTTATCCAACATGTGCGTCCGATAGCTCCGCCCCTTCCGCTACGTAAGCAAACCTGTGATCATTGAGTGCGTGAAGTGTCGATCATTACACACTTCATTTTACCAGCTGAATGAGTGCATCATCCGGGTAATTAAAGTGCACTTATTTGTAGAGTTTTCAATGTGAACGCACTACTTTCACTATTTATACTACAAAATGGCGTAGAATAGTGCATAAGTATGCGATTTGGGACGCAGCTATAGTTTGATAACAAGCAGGAAGTGTTCATGGGCCAGTGACATGACCACAATAAAATGGTCCATAAAATATTTTTTTATTTACAATTTAATTAGCAATATTGCTGATTTAATGATAATAGTTTAAAAAAAAGTATTTTAAATAATGTTGTTTTTTTATCTCGTGTTCATGATTACAAGAAGATGTTTTTTTTTTTTCAAGAGTATAAACTGGTATGCCGTTGCAAACTAGTGGGCCTCATTTTATATTAAATTTATTAAATATTAAATTTAAATGTGTATGTATATGTATGTATACTATATATATATATATATATAGTTTTTTATAAAATTATCTAAAAAAAAAGAGAGAGAAAATAAAAGAAGGCAAAAGAAATTGCTAATAAACAAAGCTTTAAAATTAGCATTTTCTCTAGACAATCAGTTTGGGCCTTAAAACATTTTTCGGAGAAGGAGGTGGGCCTCGAAGGTAAAAAGGTTGAAAACCCCTGGTATAAACCATATAAAAAGTGTGTAAGCATCTAAATGTAAAATATATATATTCTTGCCCTCAATATTATGCAGCACTGTTAAAAACTGGCATATTGATATCCCTGTTACAGGAGATCCAGCAGAGGCATCGCCTGGCCAACTCCATCTCCTCATACCTCATCAAACCTGTTCAGAGAATAACCAAGTACCAGCTGCTCCTCAAGGTACAAACCTCTGTGGTTCATCCTCAAACCTACAGACTGCCTGCTTTGAGAATTTGCCTTTAATTCAAGTCATTTCGTATTTGCAGGAGCTCCTGACGTGCTGCGAGGAAGGCAAAGGTGAAATTAAAGATGGCCTGGAGGTGATGCTCAGTGTTCCCAAAAGAGCCAACGACGCCATGCACTTGAGCATGCTTGAAGGTGAGCGGACACACAGCGAATGTACAAACACACAAGACTGCAACAGTTTCTAATGGCATTGTGTGTCTGCAGGGTTTGATGAGAACATCGAGTCCCAGGGAGAGCTGATCCTGCAGGAGGCGTTTCAGGTGTGGGATCCCAAAACTCTGATCCGCAAGGGAAGAGAACGACACCTGTTCCTCTTCGAGATGTCACTGATCTTCAGCAAGGAGGTCAAAGACTCCAATGGCAGGAGCAAGTACATCTACAAGAGCAAGCTTTTCGTAAGTTTCTCTGCAGGGTTAAAGGACTCCTCTTTTACACCTTTCACAAGATGTAAGATAAGCCTTTGGTGTCTCCAGATTGTATCTGTAAAGTTTCAGCTCAAAATACCCATCAGATTATTTATTATACAATGCAGATTATGCCCATATTGGTGTCTGAGGACAGTGTAGCTGTTTTTGTAGGCTGTGCCTTAGGCTGTGCCTTTAAATGCAAATGAGCTGGTTCTTCGCACCCACAAAGTTTGCAGGACATACACACCCACGCACGCACGCACGCGCATGCGTTTACTGTCACCATGCGGCTGTGGTAATTCTAGTGGTTAAGAATTACACAGCAATATTACTGTCTTTATTACAAACATGCTGTGTTTTATAAACATTTAAAACTTTTATTCTTGAGGTGCAGATGATCACAGAGAGTCAGAACAGATCCTTTAATCCCAGTTTCTTTACAAATCCTGGTCTTTGGGTGTGTATATGCATTACCTCAGAAACATGTTAATTCACAGCTGTCAATCAAATCAATGGGAGGGGGTTAACCGCACTCCCACGTCACGTTGCAGTCGTCCCTTAAAATTTCTTGGAGTTGGATGCTATTTTAAGGTCTAACAGGAGACTTGTTGTGTTTATATCTCTCCAATATGACACACAGTCACAATATACCTACACACAGTTCTGTCCCAACAGCATCCAAAGTTGATTTTGCATCATAGGTTTGCATTGGAGTATTTACTTTTTATAATTTCACTTTTTAAATCACTTTTTAAACACTATTTTGGTATGTTACACTGTATTTAATGTTATTTGGTTTATTATGCTATTATCATGCTATATTTGCTTGCTTTGTGCTGTTGCTTTGGCTGATTTAGGCATGTCCTCTCATCATCGCGTGTGTGCGTTCATACTGTATACAATCGTGACCTCTTCGCCATTAAAGTAGACATTATTTATCTTTGTTTCTTGACTAAATTTAGTCAAAAACAATCAAGTATTTAGAATTAGATCGATGCATGACCGATGACAATGCTAACGCATTTCTTATTTGGCTGTATCATGAAGGGAAACTTAGCCTAGCATAGCTTTTAGCAAAGGTATAACTTTTTTTGAGAATACATTTCAGGTGTTCAATACGAAAATAAAAATAGTTGCTGGAAAAATTGTTTAAAAGTCCTTGATTTTCATTAGGCTGTGCCTGTATGAACCAGGTGTGCCGCAAGCCTACGTTTGAGTGAGGGTCTCGGCCGTTAGATCGCCCCCTGGGGGCTGGCTGCAGTACAAGTCATAAAGCCCGCCTCCTCCGTGTTAATGAAAGAGACTTGAGCCCAAATAAAAAAAATTATTACACTTGCAATAAAATGTCCCGAAAGATGGTTCTGGTCGATTAAGGCACTGATTGTTGTGCTGAAATAGGTGCAGATCTTCATTTTTGTAAATAGTTTGTTTTTAGCAGTAATTTAATGCTGGGCGTGTCATCGTGATTGACAGCTGTGATTGACAGTTTCTCAAAGCAGCGCGTCTGAGCTTCGGCAGGAGACTGAAGTGTTATTATTCGATTTCTGTGTTATTTTACCATGACAAAATGAGTTCAGCAGTAAACTATAATTTCTGACATACATGATCCTGGTGGAACACTGTTTATTCGCTAAGTTCAGGGCTTTTTTCGGGCTTTATTAGTTTGCTGATACACGCCTAACCACCCAGATAGCAAAACACAGTTCCGGCTAGATTCTCGCCTGCCGGAGACTTATCCCTTAGAGCTCAGACTGACTACCTCTGCTGGACCTACTCCAGATGCCTGGACTCACTGCCCGATTCCAGCCCGAGTCAATCGAGCCAGATGCGGCGGCCAAGCGAGCCGGCGCTGCCGCATGCGAGGCGGAATCAGCCTGCGACTCCGCGAGTAGGTTATGCACCGCGGCCCGGAGCTGGCGCGATTGAATATATAAAACCCTCATATTTGTTAACGTTATTACATCCATTTGTGTTGATATGACAGCAAACGCATGCTGAGAAGTTCGGGGGGCGTGGTTGATTTTACATAAAGCGTTTGGTTGGAAGCTCGACTCGGCTCATTTTCGCGGCTCCTCCTCTGGCTCCACCAGACAGTCCTTCTGCGCATGTCAAGGCTCCAATTTCAGCAGTCTTTTGCGACAGTTTGTGCCCGTCAAGCAGGCGTTTTGCCCTCAAGGCATTCAATGGGAAAAAGGGCTGTCGCGTCGTCCATATTTTTTACAGTCATTGGTATGAACCCTGTAACAGGCGTTGTGCTTTTGGAAATGTTTTTTTTAATTTTATGTGCTGCAGATGTGATTGTTTAATATGCTTCGTTCTACTCTCAGACCTCTGAACTGGGTGTCACTGAGCATGTGGAGGGAGATCCATGCAAATTTGCTCTCTGGGTTGGACGAACCCCAACTTCTGACAACAAGATTGTCCTCAAGGTAAGTCTCTCTTTATTTCTTTCTCTCTCTCTCTCTCTCTCTCTCTCTCTCTCTCTCTCTCTCTCTCTGTTGAAAAGCATGCTATTTGCTCCAGTTGTTGCATCATCATCTATGTGGCTCGTCTCTTTTGCACTTTATTATTCATAAATCCCACATGTTCAGTGTCAAAATGCTTGCAATGATTTGTTTTTTAACTTTGACCTGCCAGAATAACTAACTTGTTTTTAACTAAATACATGCATGTCTTATTTCAATTACTAAAACACATAAAAATAACATGCTTTAAAAGTTAGTCTTGCATGGCATGCTGTAAGTTACTAAAACCTGATGACAGCAATGCATTTACAGATCTGATAATGATAAGCTGCTGCCTTTTTGCATGTTTTTACAAAAGGAGGAGCAAAACATCTGCATGTTGCCAGAGTAGGCAGATAATATGTAAATATTAATATTGCTTTAAAACAGAAGAACACTGTTTGTTTTTAAAGAGAAATCTGAAGCTAATGCTGATCATATTGTAATGATGATTATTGTGGTATATCTATGCGCTAACTTCTGTGTTTCTGACTGCATGGTAATGAAGTACATAGAAACACACATACTGTCTGCTAGTAGAGGCTTTTGTGCATTGCAAATGACGTTTGTCTTAAGGTGCTTTCACACCTAGACTTTTGTTTCGGAACCTGGCACGTTTCCCCAGTTAGCGTGGTTTGTTTGGCGTATGTGAATTCAGCAATCACGCTCGAATACGCACCAAAGTAATCGGCCCAAGATCGCCTGAATGAGGTGATCTTGGCTTGATTGAAACAAACTCTGGAGCAGATCGATTGTAGTGAGAAAGCAAAACGACCCGAGCCCAGCTAAGTTATATCACACAGCTATATGAAGAGAGAAATATGAGCAGGGATGTCATTCCTACTGGTTAATGTGCGTTTCATGTCAAATAGGAAAGTGAAAGCATGCTGGACTATTAACGAGAGCTGTTTATACGTTAGGAAAATTGACGAACTGCAGTCTTGGTTTATCTGTTATTTGTTTCTATAATGTAATTATCTCCTTATAATGCATAATTCTAGCCAGTGGCTTTGTATGAGAAAGTCTCACCTCTGATTTATATCTGGTGTTAATGTCTGTGGGTGTCACCGTTAAAAATTAAAGCTCAGCTTTCCGCTTTTAATGTCTTATTGCTCATCGTCATAAATTAACATACGGAAGCATGACAGCTGAGCCGGACTCTTTAAAAAAAAAGTGACACTCTGACCAATGTGAGGAGAGTTTACTCGCAGGTGACTTGTTTAAGCTATTTTGGTCCGTTTAGAAACTTTGCCGTGTGAAAGCGAACCGCACCAAGAACAAAAAGCAACATTGTAACAATTTGAATCTCTGTTTCGGAACAAAACCCTTAGGGTGCTTTCACACCTGTGAATCGATTTTGTTCCAAAACAGGGATTAAAATTGTTACAATGTTGCTCTTTGTTCTTGTTGTTGCAGTTCGATCCGCTCCAGAGTTAGGGTGCTTTCACACCTACACTTTTGTGTCTCGTTTGCCCAGTTAGCGCGGTTCGTTTAGCATATGTGAACAGGGCAATTGCGCTCTGTTCCGAGATCGCTTGAATGAGGTGGTCTCTGCCCGATTGAAAAGAACCGTGGAGCGGTTCGATTGCAGTGAGAAAGCAATCCGATCCGAGCGCGGTTATATCACAGTGTTTTATGGATATGTAATAGGCATACGGCTATATGAAGAGAGAATTATGAGTAGGGCTTGAAGTTTTGCGAGTCTCCGGATGCCTGCAAACAAGTGATGATCTCCCGGTAATCTCGCGTCTCCCTCCCGGTCCTCAAATAGGCATCGTCGCACACCCTTCTCACCCCTCCCCACCGCGTCTCTCCTCAGACACGTTGTCAATCACCACCAAACCACCACCTCTCCTGACAGCTGAGCGGGACGGTGCAAAATAAACCCTGACACTCTGACCAATGTGAGGAGAGTTTACTCACACGTGGCTTGTTTTAGCTCTTTTGGTCCGATTAGAAACTTTGCAGTGTGAAGGTGAACCGCTCCAAGAGCAAAGAGCAACAATGTAACATTTGTAATCTCTGTTTCGGAACAACTGAATCGATTCACAGGTGTGAAAGCACCCTTAGGGGGCTTTCAAAGCTGTGAATCGATTAATTTGTTCCAAAACAGGGATTAAAATTGTTACAATGTTGCTCTTTGCTCTTGGTGCAGTTCGATCCGCTCCAGAGTTAGTTTCAATCGAACCGAGACCAGCTCATTCAGGCGATCTCAGATCAATCGAGTGTAAATCGAACAATCGAGCGCGACTGCTCGATTCACATATGCTAAACGAACCGTGCTAACTGGGTAAACGAGACAGGTTCCGAAACAAAAGTCTATATGTGAAAGCACCCTTAGTGACTGTCAGTTAACTGCATGCTGCTTTTAAACTGTAAGGCTAATCTGTTCAATTCTGTCTTTCCATAAAATGTCAAATTGCACAGATGTTCACTGTCCGTGTATACTGTATGTCAGGGGTCTCCAATCTCGTTCCTGGATGTCCGGTGCCCTGGAGGGTTTAGCTCCAACTTGCCTCAACACACCTGCCTGGGTGTTTCAAGTATACCTAGTAAGACCTTGATTAGCTTATTCAGGTGTGTTTGATTAGGGTTAAATGTGGATTAGTTATCTGCAGGACACCGGACCTCCAGGAACAAGTTTGGTGATCCCTGCTTTATGTAATTCACGTCTTCGGAGCCAAAGAAAATATGAAAAATGGGTCAAAGACAAAAAAAGAGTGTTCAAGAATCCTAAATGTGAAAGTTTATTAAATATATCAGTTATGCTGAATGATGATAGAATATTATTTTACTCATATTTTGACATTTTATTGTCACAAAATGCATATATTGAAAGATGAAAATAGTTCTGATAGTACAAAAGTATTTTGTAAATGCAAAATAATAGTCTTTGACTCATTCACTTTAAAATAAATATATTTTTATTACATATTTGAAGATTAAAGTAAACAAATACATTTTAAAAGTGAATTTAATTGAATAATCCGTGTACTTAAGTACGAAGACTAAATATTAAAATGAATATTGTGAAATACCTAATAATTTGTCATTATTTGACAACCTGTGGTGGCATTGACTACTAAATCCACCATTCATCACAGCACGTTGGCTCTAAATGATCACAAAACATGTTTATTAATGTTGTCCTCGTGTCTTTCTGGCCACTGTCTGATTCAGTATTTTATATGGCACTTCATAAAAGAGTAAAACCTTTGTATATTTCTATATTTCGAATAAAGCTAAGTCAGGGATGCAAACATGGATCATTGGTGAGTACAGCGACGCAGTAAACTCACCATCAGTTCACCATAGAACAGAAAACACTTGTGCTTTTACTCAGCACGTGTGCGTTTCTTTGTTTTCTCCACATCTGAAAACGCAGGCGTCCGGTATTGAGAACAAACAGGACTGGATCAAGCACATCCGGGAAGTGATTCAGGAGCGCACCGTTCACCTGAAGGGGGCGCTGAAAGAGCCCATTCACATCCCCAAAGCCTCCACAGCCAAACACAAGGGGCGCAGGTACACCCCAAGGCAAGTCACACATCTTTATTTTCTCTGTATAGTATATATATAATTCAGGAAAACATAAAAATAAATTTAAAAGAGAGGGAAAAAATAATACCATGGTATTATTTACACCTTAATAAAAGCATAAATCTCCTGAACTTTAAGCTCATTTGCTGTGTGTGTGCAGGGATGGAGAGGATCTGGACAGTCAGGGTGACGGCAGCAGTCAACCAGACACCATCTCACTGGCCTCCAGGACCTCACAGAACACACTGGACAGCGACAAGGTGAGGAGAAAACCACCCGCAAATCCCTCTTATCATTGAAATCAGTAGTTATATAGTGTTACAGACTTTTTTCGATCAACTTTTGGCACTAAAGAATTGCGATAATATATGACTGATCAGAATGCTAAAAATGAATAAATGCTAGCAATCAGAGAACTGCATATGTTTTTATCATGTTATTACCTTTTTCAGTAAAAATAAAAATTTCACTCACACCACAGCCAAATAATATGACTTTAATAAAAAAAATAGACAAAATAATCTTAAAAATCCGAATACAAACTCACTAAAAGCCTGTGTCTGCTTGTGTTTTTGTGTTTAGTTGTCTGGTGGCTGTGAGCTGACGGTGGTCATCCATGACTTTATGGCCGGTAACAGTAATGAGCTGACCATCCGGAGAGGACAGACGGTGGAGGTGCTCGAGAGACTTCATGATAAGCCGGACTGGTGTTTGGTTCGCACCACAGACCGTTCGCCGGCGCTGGAGGGCCTGGTGCCCTGTGCCATGCTCTGTATCGCCCACTCCCGCAGCAGCATGGAGATGGAGGGCATCTTCAACCACAAAGGTGGGCTAAAGTCTTAAACGCTCTACAAAAATCATTAAAGTTCTGTCAATATACAGTCAGAATTACCCGTTTCCTGAATTATTTGCCTCCCTGTGTATTTTTTCCCCGAGTTCTGTTTAAAGGAGAGCAGATTTTTTTTAGCACATTTCTAAACATAATAGTTTTAATAACTCGTCTCTAATAACTGATTTATTTTATCTTTGCCATAATGACAGTAAATAATATTTGACTAGATATGTTTTCAAGACACTTCTATACAGCTTAAAGTGACATTTAAAGGCTTAACTAGGTTAATTAGGCTGGTTAGGGTAATAAGGCTAATAATTGTATAATGATGGTTTGTTCTGTAGACTATCTATCTGAAAAATATAACTTAAGGGGGCTAATAATATTGACCTTAAAATTGCTTTTTAAAAAATTTAAAAACTGCTTTTATTCTAGCTGAAATAAAGCAAATAAGACTTTCTCCAGAAGAAAAAATATTATAGGAAATACTGTAAAAATTTCCATTTGCTGTATGTAATCAATATACAGTATAATTAATGATTATCATATACTCTACATGGGTTGATATACAGTATCTACACTTGTTAAATAAACCGAATGTATAGCTCTCTTCTATTATAATTTATTACTTTTTCTTATTGTATGTTTTTTGTTGCATTACAAAATGTTTCCTCATCAAATGTTTCACAAAAATACTAATAATACTGTTTTATGATCACTTTAGGACATTGAATAAAGATAAAATGCTGAAAGGAAATGATGAGATGCACATACATTCTAAAATGTGCATTAAATAATTAATATTTATTATTCATTAATATATACCGCACATGGTAAATGTACTGTGTCTACTGGACACTTATTAAAACAGAATCTATACCTCCTTTTATATCATCTATTTCTCTTTTTTTCTTGTGTATTATATATATATATAAGCTTAAAGGGGCTAGTAATTTTGTCCCTAAAATCATAAGCCGAAATTAAACAAATAAGAATTTCTCCAGAAAAAATATTATCAGACATACTGTGAAAATTTCCTTGCTCTGTTAAACATCATTTAGGAAATATTTAAAAAAAGAAAAAAAGGGGGGCTGATAATTCTGACTTCAACTGTATATATTTATTTATTTATTTTTAATGGTTTACTAAATGTTTTCTCAAAAGGTTCCAAAAAATAAAAATCTTTTATGATCATTTCAGGAATAAAGAAAAATATGCTCAAAGGAAGTTATGAGATGCACATAAATTCTAAAATGTGCATTCAAATGTTCGGTTTAGTCCGATATATTTTTAATAAAATAAAGAGATATGTGCATAAACTACAAATATATATATATATATATATATATATATATATATATATATATATATATATATATATAATATTTTTTATTTACAATAAATTCCTTGTTCTGCATCAAATGTTGTGTTAATAATTCTGCAAACACCCGGGCTAAACTGGTTTGGTCAGCTTGCAGATTTTTCTTTTAATTAATATATCCCTCCAGTTTTCCAGAAAATGAGCATTTTTATTTTCTTGAACACTTTGAATAGTAAATACTTAGTATTTTATGCATAAAGCAAATTCTCAACTTCTGATGGAAACATAACTCGTATGAAAATCATAATCTGTGTGTTTTCCAGATGCACTCTCTGTATGCAGTAATGATGCCATCATGCCAGGCTCCTCTGCCACCCTGCAGCCGGGTCATGTGATGGGTTCCCAGAGTTCTCCTGGACCTAAAAGGCCTGGCAACACATTAAGGAAATGGCTGACCAGTCCTGTGAGGAGACTGAGCAGCGGTAAAGCTGACGGACACGTCAAGAAGCTGGCACACAAACACAAGAAGAGCCGTGACGTCAGAAAGAGCGCAGACGCCGGTTCACAGAAAGACTCGGACGACAGCGCTGCGACGCCACAAGATGAGACCCTCGAGGAGGTTTGTGTTCTTCCTGTTGTGTGTGTGTATTGTATCCAGTTTGATCGGATATTTGAATTAGTAAATCATTATATAGAGACTTGGTTTAATCGGATATTTGAATCAGTGATTTATTATAGAGAAATTCGGTTTAATCGGATATTTGAATCAGTGAATCATTATATAGAGACTCGGTTTGATCAGATATTTGAATCAGTGATTTATTATAGAGAAATTCGGTTTAATCGGATATTTGAATCAGTGAATCATTATATAGAGACTCGGTTTGATCAGATATTTGAATCAGTGAATCATTATATAGAGACTCGGTTTGATCGGATATTTGAATCAGTGAATCATTATATAGAGACTCGGTTTGATCAGATATTTGAATCAGTGAATCATTATATGGAGACTCGGTTTGACCAGATATTTGAATTAGTGAATCATTATGTAGAGACTCGGTTTGATCGGATATTTGAATCAGTGAATCATTATATAGAGACTCAGTTAGATTGGATATTTGAATCAGTGAATCATTATATAGAGACTCGGTTTGACCAGATATTTGAATCAGTGAATCATTATATAGAGACTCAGTTAGATTGGATATTTGAATCAGTGAATCATTATATAGAGACTGGGTTTGATAGGATATTTGAATCAGTGAATTATTATATAGAGATTCGGTTTGATCAGATATTTGAATCAGTGAATCATTATATAGAGACTCGGTTTGATCGGATATTTGAATCAGTGAATCATTATATAGAGACTCGGTTTGATTGGATATTTGAATCTGTGAATCATTATATAGAGACTCGGTTTGATCGGATATTTGAATCAGTGAATCATTATATAGGGACTTGGTTTGATCGGATATTTGAATCTGTGAATCATTATATAGAGACTCGGTTTGACCAGATATTTGAATAAGTGAATCATTATGTAGAGACTCAGTTTGACCAGATATTAGAATCAGTGAATCGTTAACTGGAAACTTGCTCTGGAAGATCACATGAATCATTGACTCTTTAATTAGATTTGCTCTGATCATATAACTTACATGTGAATCGTTGACTGAACACTCCGAATAGATCATTTGAATAAGTGAATTTCCACCTGGAGACTCACTCTGACCAGTTAATTTCAGTCAATAAATCATTAACTGGTGACTCACTCTGACCAAATATTCTGAATCGGTGAATTGTTACCTGTAGAGTCTAGACTCACTCTGACCAGGTCAATTAAATCATTGAATCATTAGCTGGAGATTCACTCGGACTGAATCGTTTGAATCAGTCAGTTGTTGACTTTAGAACAGAATCAACAGATTAAAGGCAAATAGGTATCAAAATAAATGCTTCAGAATAGAGTTAAAATATTTCATTAATGTCCATCATGATCTCCTCTACAGAGGGTGCGTAATGAGGGTCTGAGCAGCGGCACGCTCTCCAAATCCTCCTCTTCAGGGATGCAGAGCTGTGGAGAGGAAGAGGGAGAGGAAGGAGCTGACGCTGTGCCTCTTCCTCCACCAATGGCCATCCAGCAGCACAGCCTCCTCCAGCCGGATGCGCAGGATGACAAGGTAAGCACATGAGTGAGCGGAGCAGAGGATGGAGAAGTGCGGCTGGTGCCACTGAGAGACACTAGTTTGGACTATTTTGTTTTAGGTTTATTTTGTTTGTTTATTTTGTTCTCGTTGCCAACATCAATCCTGTTAGAGATCCTCAGAGCTGTGCAAAAGCTTCTGTGTGCCACCGCTTTAAGTAGTATCTCCTCCTGGGATGTGCAGGCTTTATCTACAGTTTGGATTCCAGATGCAATTCATTAAATGTGACTACACTGCAAAACAATAAATAAATAAAGCGTTTTTTGTCTTGTTTCTAGTTCAAATATCTAAAAATACCCAAAGCAAGAAGCTTTTGTCTAGATAAAAATCATAATTTACTAACCTTTTACTGGTTTTAAACCTTCATGAGTTTCTTTCTTCTGTTAAACACTAAAGAAGATACTTTGAAGAGTGCCAAATACCTGTAATCATTGATTTCTTCGTATTGTTTTTTCCTCCTATCGAAGTCAATTGTCTGCTTTAGTGTTTAACAGAAGAGAAGAAACTCGAAGGTTTGCACCAATCTGATATTTTGAAGAATGCTGAAAACCTGTAACCATTGACTTCCATAATATTTGTTTTTCCATTCATATGGGCTGAATTTAAACTAATTAAATGTAGTAATATTCAACTTTGTTTGTTTTAATTCAGACAATATATATTGTTTGCAACCACTAAAAAACTAAAGAAAAAAATGTAAATCCAATTAATATTTTTTTTCCAGTGTATGGAAGTCAATGGTTACAGGTTTTTACTTTTTTCAAAATATCTGCTTTAGTGTTTAACAGAACAAAGGTTTGTAACAATACGAGTTTCTTTCTTCTGTTAAACACCAAAGAAGATATTTTGAAGAATGCTGAAAGCCTGTAACCATTGACTTCCATAATATTTGTTTTTCTTACTTCACCGAAAAGAAGATTGTTGCGAATCATTTGTTTGGGCTGAATTTAAACAAATGAAATGTAGTAATGTTCAATTTAAATTGTTTGTTTAAATTTAGCCCAAATAAATAGTTTGCAACCACTTACCTTAAAAAAAAACTTAGTAAATCAAATGAAAAAAAAAATCATTCAGTGAATGGAAGTCAATGGTTACAGGTTTTTAGCTTTCTTCAATATATCTGCTTTAAACAGAAGATATTACAAAAACTCAAAAGTATGTAACAATATGATTATTAGCCACTGACTTCCATAGTAGGAAAATCAAATACTATGGAAATAAATGGTTACAGATTTTTAGCTTTCTTTAAAATATCTTCTTTAGTGTTTAACAGAAGAGAAGAAAGAAACTCAAACATGTTTGCAACCACTTAAGGGTGAGTAAATAGTGAGTACATTTACATTTTTAGGTGAACACTAGCCTAATTATTATTATTATTATTATTATTAAATCATTCATTCATTTTCCTTCGGCTTAGTTTCTTTATTCATCAGAGGTCGCCCTAGTAGAATGAATTGCGACCTTTTCCAGCATATGTTTTACGCATCAGATGCCCTTCCAGTCGTAACACTGGAAAACATCCGTACACACATTCATACACATATGGCCAATTAAGTTTATGCAGTTCACCTATAGCGCATGTCTTTGGACTGTGGGGGAAACCGGAGCACCCGAAGGAAACCCACAGCAACACAGGGAGAACATGCAAACTCCACACAGAAACTGACCCAGCCGGGACTCGAATCAGCAACCTTCTTGCTGTGAGGTGACAGTGCTAACCACTGAGCCACCATGCCGCCATTATTAAATTTGATTTCAAGGTTAATTTAAGGATTTTTAGATATTTGAACTACTGTAGAAACAAGACAAAACTCTCAGGACAGGAAGCAGTGTATATTGCTGAAGAAATGTTGTTCTGGTCATATTAAACTCAAAATGGGAATCTTCTTTTGTCATCCTGGCCCCATCACACCTGGCATTAGCATGCATCTACAGTATGTATCACTTGATATCAAGTTGATCACTATTAATCAAATTTTGTTCAATTACTTAATTATTTACTGGATTAGACCATTTTTTAAATTGTTCAACAGTTAAATTCGGTTCAGTAGGTGATCATGCAGTTCTTACCATACCTTCAATAACAAAATGAATTGTGGCTAATTAGTTTTCCAAAAGAAAAACATTCCCTTAATAAAAGATGTTAAATTAAGAAATACTCCTAAAGGGATAGTTCACAAACAAATGAAAATAACCTTAGCATTTTAAACCTTTACAACTTTCTTTTCTTCTGTTGAATGCAAAAGAAGATATTTTAAAAATGCTGCTATTAAAAAAAACAAAAAAAGCTAAATAATACCATTTACAAGCATTCTTCGAAGTATCTTCTTTTGTGTTCATCAGAGAGTGTTTAGTACAAGTGTTGGCATAAATATAACTAATGCTTCTGATTAGGCCTGTCACAATTATCAATATATCGACTTACTGTATCACACAACACATGGACTTGACCTCACTCATTTTTGGTGGTGCAATACAATATATATCGCCCATACATTATTAAACAATTCTAGCAACATTTTAGCTGATTGTGCAACTTCTCTATCTCTATTGGGGGTGTCAGTGTCAGTATGGCTAACAACACTGTAGTATCTACTATAAATGACTTTAGTATATTATAATGTGTGTGTCTGACAAGTTGAAATAGATCTGCTAGCAGAAATTGCAGCTTCTCTTACATTTTTAATGTTTTATTAGGAAATGCGTTTCACATTTTGATTCCAATGCCTAATTATTAATATAGTTAAAATGACTATAATTAAATGAAATATTCTTCAGAATAAAATATAATGTGTTCTGTGGAAGAGTGCACTTGCATTGTGATGATATTATCTTGTAGTGATGTAACGGATCGCAAATCATACGGTTCGGATCACATAGTGTTTTTTTAGTCATGGATCGGACCATTTTTTCATGTCAGCCAAAAAGGGGAGAAGACAAATGTAATTTGCTTCCTATTTATTACAGAAACAGTACTTCAAGACACTTATGGCTTTACCAAACAGAACTTAGAAGCTTAAAGTTAAATATAAAATGAAGAAATAATCAGCTGAATAAAAATAAATAGTAAAATGTTCAGTACTGTGAAATATTCACTGTTACTACTACTGTTGCTGATAACGCTAAATGTAGAAATCTAACTATATAATTTGTGCATCCCATATTTATTTTTAGTCTCATTTTTAATAAACGATTCAGTTATTCACTCGTAAAACATCATGTTTCATTGCCGAATGATCATTTTAAAAAAATTATTCAGTGGCATATTTTTGATGGCTGATTGTCGCCACCTATTGGATAAATAATGTAATTGCTACCTACATTTTTTATTTTTGAGCGTCGTTAAATGCATATGACGGAAATTTTAATCTTTACCATAAACATCAGTGGTTTTATTTAAACTATAAACAGTTATCCCAGTACTTCTGTGTTAATTGACTGCTTTTAACTTTATAACCAACTCAAAAGACTAAAGAATGAACTTCTTAGGATTAAAAAGCATATGCAAATCACCATCATTTATAATTTATGTTGCGTGGGTGTTGAGATCCCGATCTTTAAAATAAAAATAAATAGTAAAATATTCTGTACTGTGAAATATTCACTGTTACTACTAGAGATGCTGATAACGCTAAATGTTGAAATGTAACATTATAATTTGTACATCCCATATTTGTTTTTATTCTCATTTTCAATAAACGATTCAGTTATTCACTCCCAGTACTTCTGTGTTAATTGACTGCTTTTAACTTCATAACCAACTCAAAAGACTAAAGACTGAACCTCACAAGATTAAAAAGCATATGCAAATCACCATAATTTATAATTTATGTTGCGTGGGTGTTGAGATCCCGATCTTTTCATGATTAATCGTGCAGCTTACACGGAATTCATTAAAACAGGCTATCCAAGTAGTGACAGAAAACACCTTCAATAACCTAAGAAACCCACCACATCCAGAATAACCCACCACAACCTCTTCCATCATCATTATATTTTACAGGAAAGCCTTTCATACATGTGATTTGAATGACGTGAGAGGCGATCTCACTGCGATTGTTGCAAATTTAGGAATAATCTACAAGTAAAAAAAGAATGTATTAATCTGCGGGTCACGTGTTCTGAAAACTGGGTTGTGATCTGTACGAATCAATCCGTTACACCCCTATTATCTTGTCATTCTGGCATTATATAATGATCATACAACAAAAAATTGATATTATGACAGGCCTATCGAAGAAAGAAACTCAAATAGTTGAGTAAATGATGGCAGAGATTTCTTTTTGGGTTAAACTATCCCTTTAATATGTCATCTTAAACTGTAGGAAGCGGGATGCTTGAAATATTGTGTTGGAAAAGGGTAAACACACACGTTCTGAACACACCACACATGTTAATGCCAGCCTAGAGAGGCTTGTGTGACGCTTCAGCCTAGTCTCTTGTAGGATGAAATGCTGGAGTTGTAGTTGGTCTCATCGCTGCTCAAGAACAGCTTGTGACACTAATTTCTTTTTCTCTTTTGTTTTGTTTGGGCTGTATTGTTTGCCATAGCATTACGTTGATTTGTGTCCTGTCTTTGTTTTATCTCAGTTCCCATATCTCTCCATCTGAGTCCTCCCTATCTGGCCTCCCTCCTTCCATGTCATTTCTCATTGCTTTCTTTTTCCCATAACCCCCCCCCGGCTTAAGAAAAGACCCGAGACCCCTTCCTTTTATTTGCTGTCTTTTTATTTTATATTATTTCATAGAAAGCGAGATTTACCTTATAGATTTACTCCTATAGAAGCGGATTCCTCATTTTGTTTTGATTGCGTCACTTTCATCTAGACGAGACTTCCTCTTTCTGTTGTTTAAATCTGTCTGATTTAAACTTAGAACCACAAAATGCCCTTACTCATCCTTTTTCATATTTCAGTTTTTTTTTTTACTTTGTTGTTTAATATATATTTATGATTGAGTCCCACCTTTAAGTGACTGTCCTCCTAATGTTCTGGTTTTTGATTGGACCGGGTTCCTCAAACACGTTCAAAAGCAGCTTCAGAGTATCACAGGGCACATGCAGTGTGCAGATGTGTCCGAACGGCCATGTGATTCGCTAGAAAGAAAGTCATGTGCCTTAAAAAACGACTCTGAATCTCAGAGCCCACCGTCACTCTTTCCTCTCTAACCAATCAACCAACCCTCCAGACTCCGCCCATTCACCCCTCCCCCCTCCCCTCTGTGCTACCCCTCATTATCACTCTGCTGTCTGATTGGCCTGTAAAAGCTAAGCAGACCTGAGGCCACACCCAGACACAAATTGGAAAGTCTGGAAGGCACAGCAAGGGTGAGACTTTCTGCTGGATTTCTATTTGATGAATGTTTTTCATTGACAGTCATTTTTTCGATAACCCTCCGCCAGTCTCAGGTGTCCAGCATCAGGCTATTGTCAACCTCAAGATGATCAGTTTTTAATAATCTGTTTCTGAACAATTTGAGAGAGTCATTTCAAAAGAGTCACTTGCTTAATTTCTGAATGATTAAGGCTTTTTAAACTAGTCATTTAAATAAGTGATTAAATGAACCGGTCAATATGAATTTTTACTGTCTACTGCTGATTTTATGATGTTAGCTATGTTGTTACACCAATAGGAAGTAACAAGTACCTGATGTTAAACAAAAAAAGCATTGTTCAGTCATTTATTCGAGAGATTCATCTAAAACACTGGTTCCAAATTTTGATATGAACCAAAGATTTTTTTAAAGAATCTGTTTCTGAATCATATGAGTGAGTTATTTCAAGTGAGTCGCTTGCTTCATTTCTTAACGATTCAGCTGTTTTGAGCTAGTCGTTTAAAGAAGTCATTTAGTGAATAGTTTAATGTGAATTTTCATCGCTTACTGCTGATTTTGATAATGTTAGCCATGTTGTTACACCAGTATGAAGTACCTGATGTTAAAAATTGGTATTTGTCATTTATTGAAAAGAATCATCAAAAATGCTGGTTCCTCCAATTCCAAGAAAGATTTGACATAAACCAAACAATTTTTAAAAATAATCTGTTTCTGAATCATTTGAGTGAGTGGTATGAAGACAGTCGCTTGCTTCATTTCAAAATGATTCAGTCATTTTGAACCAGTCCTTTAAATGAGTGATTCAATGAATCACGATCAGAATTTTCACTACCCACTGCTGATTTTATGATGTCAGATATACAGTAGGACGCAACAAGTACCTAATGTTAAAGAACTGTTCTTAAGTTATTTATTCAAGATTCATTTTAAAAGCTGATTCGTCCAATAATGATTCAGTAATTTATATATATATATATATATATATATTTATATATATATATATATATATATATATATATATATATATATATATATAATTAATATGGTCAGTTTTTAACATTTTTTTTTTTAAATAATCTGTTTCTGAATCATTTAAATGAGGGATTTAAAGAGTCATTTGCTTAATTTCTGAATGATTCAGTTGTTTTTAACTCGTTGTTTATATGAGTGAATCTTTCAATATAAATTTTCACCATCTACTGCTGATTTTGGTAATGTTAGCTTTGTTGTTACACCAGTAGGAAGTAACAAGTACCTGATGTTAAAAAAAAAAGTGTCATTTAATCAATTATTCAAGAGTTTCATCCTAAACGCTAACAACTATTTAGTAATTTTTTTGGAAAAACTGCCTTTGGCTTACATTGACGTTTTGTCATTCCTCAAGATGATCAGTTTTTAATATAGTTTTTTTTTAAATAATCTGTATCTGAATTATTTGAGCCAGTGATTTAAAGAGAGTCACTTGCTGCTTTTCTGAATGATTCAGCTGTTTTAAACTAGTCGTTTAAATGAGTGATTCAGTGAATCATTCAACACGACTTTTTGGGGGAACTGGCTTTGGCTTATATCAAAATGTTGTCGCTCCTTAAGATGATCAGATTTTAGCATAGTTTTTTTTAATAATCCGTTTCTGAAAACTGGCTTGTATTAACATTTCTTTATTGCTATCAACAATTGTTGTGAGTGCGCATGTTTTACGTTCACAGTGGTTTGATGCTCGACACTATTTTACCGTCAATTACAGATGCAATCAACACAATGCAGTGAAGCTGTTTTAACTGCTGTAGTAAACTAAAACCTTGCATTAATGTCCTTGAGGGCAACAAGACAAATTAAAAGCTAAATCCATGAATCCTGATTAGATTTAGCTGCACATGGTTCATATTTGCTCTGTCATTGAGTCTGGCTTTGGTTTTTCCCTCTTTCACCGTCTTTCTCTCTGCAGACGTCTTCACGTCTTTCCGTCAGACCCTCCAGTTCTGAGACCCCCAGCGCTGCAGAGCTCGTCAGTGCCATTGAGGAGCTGGTCAAAAGCAAGATGGTCAGTTAGATACAGAACCAAAATAATAATAATAATATAGTGAAGTTTTGTTATCATTGGGTTTTATTATAAAACATGAATATCATTATTCACCACATACAAATTATTTATCGTTTAATGTTCGTTAAAGAGACATCAAAAAAGTGTCAAATCTATCCACTGGTCATTTTGACTGAAATATAAATTAAATGACGCAGGAAATAACACATACTTCTCCGAAAGGACAATAAAAGAAAAAATATATATTTCTCAGCTTTTATTTACACGTAAACAAAAACTATAAGTCAGAATTGGCTAGGGGTATGAATAATTTTGCACTTGACTGTATAAAAATACACCCACATACACGTAAAACAAAGAAAAGTAGAAAAAGGACATCTGATCTGATCTACAGTTTCTCTTATGATCTTATATTTTGCTCCCAGGAGGGCGTCAAGACACACGCTATGGCTTCCTTACCGTAAAACACCCTAAAATTAGATTGCCGTAAGCTTGTCAACGGCAGGGAAGTGTTTTCTCTTAATTGACAAAGTATCTTGTCAATGGCAAGGAAAGAGTTAACTTGTGTTGTAAAAAATGATTGTGACGTTTGCTCTGCGCAAAGCATTACTTTGCTACAGCAATCCTTTTTTTCAATGATGATTTTTAGAGGTTAAATTCAAATCAAATACTACCAAACTTCCCAAAGTAATCTAGAATTGTCTACTTAACAAATATTGCCAAAAGTATAAAAAATACAGTTTATTTTCCTCTAAACATAGGGGACATTTTTGTATGGTTATCAATGGAAACTGAATGTGGTCATGTTTGGTACTGCGGCCACACAAAATCTTACTGAAAGCTCCTATTTTGAGGGTTGTTGCTAGATCAGATACATTTGCAGCCTAAAGTTAATGAGAATTATTTCTATTATGTATTAAATTTCCCATTTTTGTGTTTTAATAACGTCTAACCCCACCCCAACCCTGTACCCAACAGTCACAGTAATGTAAAAACAGTACAGAGTACTGAGTATTATTTATCTATCAAATTACCCAATAAATTGTATTTTTAACACCTACTACCACCTCAACCCTAAAACCAACCGTCACAGTACTGTAAAAATATTAATTATTGTGATTCAGTGTCATAAAAAATGCTGCTATATTAATGTGCATATCGCACTTCCGGCCGGCCGCATATCCGATCTAGACTTTACCTTTTTTGAGATATCAACTTCAAATTTGGAATATAATTTGTTCAGATAATTAACTTAGTTTTCTTTTTCTTTTTTTTGTCAATTTTAGGCTAAAATGTGTTTTTTAAGATACATATTTTATGTAATATATTAAAATTTACATTTCATTTTCATTAAGACAAACAGCTTATGTTTTATTGAGCTTTTATCAGTTGAACGTGATTTCCAGGTCTGTTCGAAAAGTGATGGCGTCAGTTAAGGGGTTAAACAGTATACACATACATGCTAACTCACTAAGTTTAGGACAATAATAGTATATTGAAGTGACTTGCTTGTTGAAGTGTTGAATAAAATGACTGTGACGTTTACTCTGCGCAGAGCTTTATAAATGGTCATAAAGCAATACTTTGCTACAGCAATGTTCTTGTGAAAGGTTTAGATGCTTTTTAGAGGCTAAATTCAAATCAAATATCACCATACTACTATAAAAATGTATGTCTACTTAATAAATATTGTTAAAAATATGAAAAAATATTCCTCCAGTTTATATTTTTCAAAACATAGGGGGCGTTTTTGTATGGTTTACAATGGAAACTGAATGTCATCTAGTGGTCATGTTTGGTACTGCAGCCGCACAAAATCTTACTGAAAGCTCCTTTTTTGAGTTATCAACAATTGGTTCAGATATTTAGCTTAGTTTTTTTTAGGTAAATTTTAGGCAAAAATGTGTTGTAAAATATGTATATATGTAATATAATTCAAATATATATTTAATCTCATAACATAGGGGGCGTTTTTTTTTATATGTTTATCAATGGGAAAACTGAATGTCATTCGGTGGTCATGTCTGGTACTGCGGCCACACAAAATCTACCTTTTTTTTTGATACCAACTTCAAATTTGTAATATAATCTGTTCAGATATTAAGCTCAGATTTTCTGTCAGTTTTAGGTTAAACAAGTCATTCAACTCGATAAGCTCCTAAGGAACCAAAATCTCAACACCAGTTTCAAATATATGGCAACCTTTTCTGGATTTCCTCAAAACTGATTAGTGCTATGCCATCATTTATTGGAACAATTATTATTATTATTATTTTTTTTTTTTATTGGAACAATTGATAATATGCTGATAATTACATTTGGACGTTATGATTGCTTTGATTGGTAAATACCCCCACTTGTTTGTTATTTATTCATTTTAATTGATTTATTTTTATTTTCTGATTTATTGCAAGGGTTGCTATGTTTAGTCCAGTGGATTTCCTTTGTCCTGTTTTTGTATTTAAAAAAAAAAGCTTGTTTGTTGAAGTGCTCTATAAAGTGACTGCGGTTTGCTGTGCGCAGGCTCTGGAAGACAGACCCAGCACTCTGTCAGTGGAGCAGGGCGACAGCAGCAGCCCTTCATTCAACCCATCTGATAACTCTCTCCTGTCCTCCTCCTCTCCAATCGATGAGATAGAGGAACGCAAGACCGGTTTCTTCAAGAAGCGCCAGTACGCAATCATACTCGCCTTCAATCTGTTGTTGTCCTTGTTTATTTTGTGCAATGGCTAAATGTAAATGCAGGATCAGCCCAACTATATATAAAAGACACTTTTCAAATTTGACTTTTGAGATTGGGTTTGACCAGATAGTTTATACCAGAAGCTGAATCACTCACTCTAGATTGACACACTTGTATTTATTAAAGAATTCTTCACCAACATCATAATAAAACATGTTTTATTAAGATTTTGATACTCCGAGCACTTTGGATGTGTTAAAAAAAAAAGTATTTAAGTTCTAATGTTTTTAATGTCGAATGTTTTTAATGTAATTTGTATTTATTTGTTTGTTTTATATCAAATATTTATTGGAATATGAAGTTGTTATTGAAGTTATAATTATGTAATATGTGTTTCTTTGTTGATTTTGCCATGAAATAGCCATAGGTTACTGATGTGTCAATAAATAAACAAGAAAGCTTAAATTCTTTACCTCTGTTTATTCTTCTTGCTTTAGTTACGTCCTGCTGGAGCTGATCGAGACGGAGAGAGACTATGTGCGAGATCTCAGTTTGGTCGTGGAGGTGAGTCAAACCGTTTATCAGATGTGATCATATGATTTGTTTTGAAGCGTCTCAATACTTATATGTGCCTCTCCGTTGTGTGTTGGACAGGGCTACATGGCCAGGATGAGGGAGGACGGGGTTCCAGATGATATGAAAGGAAAAGACAAGATCGTTTTTGGAAACATTCAGCAGATATATGACTGGCACAAAGAGTATGTATCTAGTTTGGGATGTATTACTACACATGACACGACAAGATTCTAAAAACAAGCGATTTGTCTGTCCACACCAAACGCAATGCGACACGGCAGAAACATTTAAATACTATAGCCAAGCAGAAGCACAGAATAGTGTACTGCACTTCCAACTAAATAGTAAGGTTTATAATCAGTACATATTAAACCTATTTCACATTTTTAGAAGTACAGTTCTGACTTTCCTTTTCATATCGTCTGCCACTTATTTTATTTTTGAGATCTGAGGTGAACTATTGGCTGCAGCTTTCTGTTTGGCAACAAATGTCAAGTAAAATGATATTTAGGGCTTACTCACTCTATGGCATCCGAAGCGTGCCCAGGCCCGTTTCCCGGATTGTTTGAGAAGTGTGAGTGCACTGAATCGGGCTCAAGCACGGTTCACTTGGCCGGCCCTGGCCCAGTTGGTAGAGGTGTGGCTGATCGCGGTTCACTTGGGCTTTACGCGGTACGCTTGTGTGTGAGTGCAAAACGCGCCAAAGCCCAAAACTGAAAGCGAGACGTCACTTTTAAGGGACTGCTTCATATGGATTTATTAATCATTCTTACTGTTCAGTGAATGCAAACTGCCATAGTTTATTAAAGACGCAAACCACTCACTGCACGACAGCTGCGCGGCTTGAGCAAACCTCCTCATTCCTGCAGCATGAGAGCTTTATGATTGTTTATGAGCGCCAAAAGTGGCGGATCTGTTCGGCGAAATATCGGACTGCGTGTCACTGCATCCCTAAGGACTGTTTGGTGAAATATTTGACTGCATGTCACTGCATATCAAACTGACTAAAACGATATAACTAGAGAAATCTCCACTGTGCTGCTGAGTGAGAGAGCGCTTCTCAGTGAACAGCGCAGCAGCGATGACGTAAGCGTGCCGAGGCCCATTTGTGGTGTGAGCGCGGGCCGTCGGGGGAGACGGGAGGGGGGGGCAAGCGTGCTTTGGCCCGGTTCGAGGCAACTGTACCTAGTGTGAGTACGGCCTTAGACTCACATTTTTAACATTTAACACAGAGTAAAGCACATAATCAGTACCTGAGGTTAGCATTGTCAAAGTAGTTTATGCTGTTGTTTAGTCATTTTGCAGAAAATAGAAACTAATTCTAGTATAGAAACTTCACACAACAAAAAACTCCTTTTATCACGGACAAGATACATTTTAGCGCATGTCATTACATTGCGTGCACTAAGGACACGGTGTTACACTTTCAGTTTTCATTGGAGTGCTCCTGTATTTTTAATTCTGACCTTTTGTGTTGTGTCTGATGTAGCGTTTTGGGAATGTAAAAGGTCTGAGAGGTTTCAAAAATCAAAGAGCATGAAACAGTGGGTTATTGCCTTCTAAAAGAAAGAACCAAATTTATGTTTACAATTTTGTCTTCATTGGTTGCAGTCTGCTTTAACCGTCAAACACTGTAGTTGTGTTTGAGGCATTTGGTTACTGTTGACATTATTTTTCTGGTGTTGCACTTTCAGTGGATTAGGACTCAAATTAATATGATAAAATCAACACTGTTATTACTGCGCTTGAAAGGGTTGAAGTGCTGAAATTCAAGTATGCTCATGAAGTTTTTTTGGTCAGTGGGTCAGCCAATCAGAACACACTGGGACATTTCTGACCAATTAATTTTAATTTAATTAATCTTTATAGCGCTTTTACAATGTAGATTGTAGAAGTTCTAGAAAATTAAAACCGTGTCACTCCAGTTTTCAGAGTTGAATTTCAGTTTAGTTCAGTTCTGTGTGGTTTAGTTTTAACTGGTTAAAGTCCAAACACTGAAGAGCGAATCCATCGATGCGCAGCTCCACAAGTACCAAACCAAGCAAGCCAATAACAAGGAACAAAGCTTCACTAATTGACGAAAGTAAAGGGGAAAAAAAACAGGCTCAATTGGACACGACCATTTCTCCTCTGGCCAAACTTACTGTACAGAGCTGCAGTCTATAGGCGCTGAAGAACGTTGGACATCCATCGTGGAGAAGATCAATCAGAGCAGACTCTTGGCTTGGAGAGACCAAATGCATAAACCAAACATTTCAGACACTGATACAGTAATATACTGCAGCATCAGTACATTTCTCTGAGTAAACAAGTGTTTTTGGATGAATGTAAACCTGGGGTCCGTTCTTCGTACCTCGCTTAAATGATCTAAGATTATTTGGCAGATCCCGGATCTTTTAATCTTGATAACTGATCTCTCGCTAATTTGGTTCTTCAAAAAAGTTCGCGAATCAGATTAGAATGTCTGGATAAACTGATCTGAGATCGCTGCGTGTGTTGTGAAGGACAGATCTATCGATCCTCAAAATCATGATCAGCAATGCAACGATTGGCTGACGGCACAGCAGCGTAATGACATCATCTGATTAATATTCAATTATTCATGTGAGCAAAATTACATCAAATTGGCAGTAAACGGCTTGTTAAATATGACACGCAATAACCTTCCACATTTGTTGTGAGCTGCAGGCTTTCCACTTTCATGTGTCAAGTGTATTCATCATGTATTTCAATGCAAATCAATGTATTTAGTTCCACATTTAGAAAAGATTTTTTTTATTATAGTAGCCGTTTTTTAATCGTGTAAAGAATAACTGGTTGTTTACAAAAGTGTTTTCATATTGGTAAAGGTGTCTGCAACTTTTGTGAAGCATCAAATCACCGGCATATTAACTATCAAAACATGTTTATGATTGCATAAATGTATTATTGCTTTAAAAAAAGTCACATATTGTGCATTTCTATTATACACAATTTGTACTAAAGCGATCTAAAAAGTTCATATCAATTAGTTTTCTCTTTGCACCACCAGGTGGCAGTCTTTGTACTTTCATTTCGAGGGTGCAGATTGCATAAGTTTTATTTATATGTATAACTTAATTTATTTTATTAATGACTATAACTTTATATATATATATAGTTAAAAAATATGTACCATTTTCCCAAGTGTATATAACTACTACTGTAAGAAAATATCAGAATTCGAAACATACTTTCTGTATTATCTTTGCTTGAACTGAGCCGATCTAATCCTGTTTATATGAATTGAACCTGCTCCCGATCAGGTTTGACCTAGCAGAACTGTTGCTATGACAACAACTCTCGGATCAGCTTTGAAGAACGAAACGATCCTGGATCGTGTCAAATCGTCAATATCCAAATCCAGCTAACTGACTAATCCACGTACGAAGAACGGACACCTGTTGTAGGAGATTCCAATACAAAATAGTATAGCATAATAGGGCCACATTAAATGAATAAAGCTGATTTTCAATCTAATAATTGCAGCAGTTGACTCATGACTGTTCATTACACCAGTTTTTACAAGAGATTAAATTAATTGAATCCTTTTTTTTTTTTTTTTTTTCAGTTTCTTCCTGGGAGAGCTTGAGAAGTGCCTTGAGGACCCTGACCGGCTGGGCCCTCTCTTCCTCAAACATGTACGCCCTTCATTTATTTATCAGATGTGTTCTTAAACGATTCATTATTGTATGTATTCCTGAACCCTTTTTGTCTTTCAGGAGCGGAGACTGCACATGTACATTGTTTACTGCCAGAACAAACCTAAATCTGAACACATCGTCTCAGAGTACATCGACACATATTTTGAGGTGGGTTACTGAAGACTTAAGTCAGGGGTCACCAATCTCGGTCCCGGAGGGCCGTTGTCCCTCCAGGGTTTAGCTCCAAATAACCTCAACACACCTGCCTGGTTGTTTCAAGTATACCTAGGAAGACCTTGATTAGCTTGTTCAGGTGTGTTTGATTAGGGTTGGAGTTAAAATCTGCAGGACACCGGCCCTCCAGGAACAAGTTTGGTGACCCCTGACTTAAGTCAACAAATGTCAAAAGATTGCTCATGAATATTGCTCTTGATTTTTTTTGGGGGGGGGGGGGGGGGGTAAAATATTTAGTTTGGGAAAAGCAAGTTTGGCAAGTCTGGGAAAAATCTAAGAATATAATTAATTACTGATTAGAATTAAGAACAACTAACAAAACCAGCTGTGATACTTTTTATGACACACAAATCTTCTCATCAGGATAGAAGCAATGTCAAAATCAACATATGTCAGAAAATTTTCCCAAATTTGAATGTAACAATCCATTTTTAAACACATGCAGTACACATGTCTTTCATAGACACAATATTCAAGAATGGTTCGAAGCCTTTACTCTAACAGAGGGAGTTTTGTCTGATTAGGGATACTATAATGCATGAGGGGGACAGCTGTGACCTTCATTGGTGATTGTAAAGTTTTTTTGACCGTCTTCTACAGGATCTGAAGCAGCGTTTGGGTCACAGGCTTCAGATCACTGATCTGCTCATTAAACCTGTACAGAGAATCATGAAGTACCAGCTGCTGCTGAAGGTTTGTCCGTCCAGCACACTGCATCTGCCTGCTTTACACCTGTTTTGAGAGATTTCTTGGTGTGTAATCATGATTATGATGTTGTCCATTTGTTTCCAGGATTTCCTCAAATTTTCCAAAAAAATCGGAACAGATTCGATTGAATTAGAGGTGTGTTCTTTTATATCCATAAACATATTGGTCACACTTTACAATGATGTTTTATTAGTTAATGTGTTTATTAGCATGAACTATTAATGAACAATACTTGTACAGCATTTATTAATCATAGTTCAACATTTGCTGATGCATTATTAAACTCTAAAATCATGCTTGTTGGCGTTAGTTAATGCGTTTTGAGTTAGGTTTGGGTTAAAGTACAGTATATTCAGGAGGTTGTTATCACAGAATAAAACCCAACAGGCTTGTTGGCAGCCTGACACAAAGTTTTAGACTAAAGGGCTTTATTCTAAGGGGAAGAAAAACATCGGGGATCTACTTTGTCCTACTTATTACATAGGTACTTGCCACAAAATATAAAAATTAGACACAAAGCATTGTTCTAAGCCACAGGTGTCAAATCCAGTTCCTGAAGGGCCACAGCTCTGCACAGTTTAGCTTCACACACCTAATCAAAGTCCTTCAGGCTTGTTTGAAACCTACAGGTAAGTGTGTTGAAGCAGGGTTGGAACTAAACTACAGAGCTGTGGCTCTCCAGGAACTGGATTTGACACCTTTGTTTTAAGCCATAATAGTTTATTAATTCTTTAATTAAACACAAAATCAACAGAAATAAAAACCTATGCATTATTCAGACGCTAGATGGCGCCAAACAGTCAAAAAAAAAAAGGCTGACAGAAACAAAACTAAAAACTGAATAAAACATATACTAACCTACTTATTACTCATTGACATGACGCCGCAAAACAGTCAAAATCAGTCAATAACAGTTTGAAAGACACACTGATACATATTAATGTGGATGTAAGTGTATGGATTTAAAGTTGCGGGCGATTCACAAGGGGCTTCAGTTTCAATGCCTGACAGGGGGCATGTCTGCAGTTGGGGCTGACGCGATCGTCATAGCAGCGTCAGCCAATGAAATTAGTCTTCAGTCGGCTACTGTCTGAACTGGTGTATTTGAATAAAGCAATATGATTGGCTGGCGCGTCCATTGTCCCTTGAAAAGTTAAGAAATTCCCAATTTCTGCAGCGAGCAACGCCACTGAAGCTGCGCCGACGGATCCACAATGCAGTTCGGAAACGCCTGACGTCACCCATTCAAAGTGAATGGGAAGCGCTGACGCCCCGTGTGAATGGTGTGTTATTCACTTGTGGTCAAGGGGATTCTCAGTTCTTGAATGAGCCTGTGTTATTTAGCGGTTGTTATCTCTGAATAACAATCCTTGAAATGTCACAACTGACCAATCAGAATAGAGTATTCCAGACTGCCGCGTAATAACAACTTTATTTCCATTAGCTGCCATTAACAAATATGTATAAATACATTAATAAATGTAATGTTCATTGTTTATTCATGTAAGGAAATGCATTAACTAACATTAACTATTACAGGCTTTTATAGCCTTTATAGCCTTTTATTCTCTTCTATTTGTGCTGATGATGTTCTTGTGTTGTAGAAAGCGGTTGAGGTCATGTGCATTGTACCAAAAAGATGCAACGACATGATGAATGTTGGTCGACTCCAGGGGTTTGATGTAAGACTGTGGTATTTTTCATACCAGTAGATCATTATCAGAAATAATGACAGTATATTATATTCGAGTTCATGATTAAATCTGGTCTCTCACAGGGAAAGATTGTTGCTCAGGGGCGTCTCCTACTCCAGGACACCTTCATGGTGGCCGAACCAGAGGGAGGCCTGCTGAACAGGATGAAGGAGAGGAGAGTCTTCCTCTTTGAGCAGATCGTCATCTTCAGTGAACCTCTAGATAAAAAGAGGGGCTTCTCCATGCCTGGCTATTTGTACAAATACAGCATCAAGGTACAGGCGTCATTCTCTTTCTTTGATTTTATCATGCACAGGGTACCTGCGGGGCCTTAAAAAGTCTTACATTTCAAAAAAAAAAATTGCGCCTTAAAAATATTGACTTGTAGGTCTAAAAAGGGGACCTCTTATGCCCCTTTTACCTCTTGTAAAATAAGATGTTCCTAGAGTGTGTATATGAAGTTTCAGCTCAAAATACTACTCAAATAATGGTTTATAACTCTTTGAAACTGCCCCTTTAAGGCTTTGATCCAAATTGTGCCGTTTTGATGACTGTCACTTTAAATTCAAATGAGATTGTGCTCCACGCCCTCTTTTCAAAAGAGGGTGGAGCTTTGACTCATTTAGGGCTGTTTATGCTAATGAGGGAAAGATTGACACTGATGGGCGGGGCTTTCCCCCTCTGATGACACGTACAAAGCGAGAATGTCAATCAAAGTGTTTCTGCAGACTGTTTTTATCAAGTGTGATTATAAAAAATGGAATGAATTAATTTTTACAATAAAGGCTGGCAATATTCACACACACAGCTGTGTTTAAACCCCATAAAATTGTTTATGCATAATAGGTCCCCTTTAAATCCTTTTAAACAGGTCTTAATTGTCCTTGTAAACACCAACAATCCATCTAAATAGAGAACAAAACTCTTATTTACCAATATGTTTAATTATCTTCCTTACAGTAACATTCGTTTAGCAGTTCTCCGTGTATTTAAAGACCATATATGGCGAGGACACCTGGGCACTATTGAGCGCTTTGTTTATTATTAAGCTTGTCACACGAAAAGTTAAATATGTATGCAACTAGGGTTTGCTAGTTTTGACACATTAATTAAAATATGTAGCTAAGAAATAAGTAGGCTAGACTTTTTGATGGGTCAAGTAAAAATCCTTAGCGTTTAGTAGGGATGCGGCGATTATTCCATTTCACTATAAACCATGCTTTAATTCGTCACGGTTAGTTTATCGTAAAGGCATCTCAACATTGTTTCTGCACCAAACAAAACTGCTGCAACTAACAAAGTTATGCCAACTGTGCGCTAGTTCAAACTTCAAAGCTTGTACACACACCGAGGCTAATATGCACGCACAATGGATTAACTATGGCTGAGGCTATTAACTAAGGGCTGTTCACATGTTGCGTCTTTTGCATGCGCAAGTTTGTTATTTCGCACACTGCATTGATACGTCATCAAGATGGCGCCGTGTTGCGAGCTCCCTGAGCTTTTTACTCATCAGAGCACACGTGCTGCTGCTGATGTGACAATAAAAGTGATTTATTGACGTGCTCGCGGTTTCCAGGTGCACCTAGCTAAAAGAACGGCGTTAGCGCACCTCGAGTCACATGTCAAGAACTGACCAATCAGCTTCTTACTTTGCATTTAAATATACACATTTCTACTCTAAAGAGAAGAAAATACAAAAGGAAAATACCAAACAATTTTGTAATAAAGTTGATCAAAAGTGGCTTTCAGACAAATGTTCAGCAGCCTTTGACTACATTTGTTCTCTCTAAAAGGGAAATACTTAGCGAAAATGATCTTAGATTTATATTAGACTAATACATTTTTTTATTTACTCTTATTTTTATTTATTTATTCTTAGTTCTGTCATTTATTTTAGTGTTAAATTATTTATTATATTTAAATGCCAAGACAAATAATGTATTTTTAAATCCAAAGACAAATGGACTATTGTTGGTTTTATTATTATTTTGTGCTATATTATTGGTTACTGAGCAGAAATAAATAGCACTTAAAAATATGAGTTTTCATGATTCCATGAATATTCCTCAGACTATAATCGGACAACCCAAATCTATAATGACATGTTAAGTCAATGCAAAGATGCGAATTGACATCCTGTGACACGATACTCGCAAATGACGCAACGCGAATTAAGCATTTTGCACGTTCTTCACGTTTAATGCGCGAATTGCTCGAGTTCGAAAATCTGAACTTCAGCGGACACTCATGCTGCGTTAACCAATCAGGAGCTTGCTCATGTAGGGGCGTGATTATAACGTAGATCTTGTTGTTAGTGTCCCGGGGAAAAATCCTCCTGCCTACACCGACAACAGTTAATCAAACTAAGCTCAGCTCAGTCAGAAGCACCGCTGAAAGCTTCCATCATCCAGGTTAAGTTTCTGGAGGAGTTTATGAACTCACAGAGCTGGGTGCACCTCTGAAAGGATCTAGTGCACTCGGAAAACAAACGAATCAACACTGTTTTTCAGCATTCATAAAGCACATAAACAGTTATTTTCTCAATAAAATTCATGTTAGCCATTTAGCAACGAGGCTACAGTCACCGGGCAGACAGAAGCCCTGCCCATGACGCGAATCCGCATCTGTTCTGAAGCGGATTAGTCGTGAGAATAAAACAGATTTCACGCGGTAATCAATCGAGTAAACTCAAAATGTTTACGTATCTATTTAGGTGCGAATAGCATGTTTTATCCGCGTGTTTCGCATCTGGTGCGAACACAGCATACGGGTGTACTCAAACTATGTACAGTTGCCTTGAACAGGTCCGAAGCACACTTGTCCCCCTTATATCTCCCCTGACAGCCCACACTCCCACTGAAATCGCACCTGAGCATGCTTAAGTCATCAGTGTTGCGCTGTTCAGTAAGAAGCACGCTCGATCAGCACAGTGGAGATTTCTTTATTTATATCGCTTTAGTGGTTTGGGATGCAGTGACACACAGTCAAATATATCGCCAAACAGATCAGCCACTTTTGATGCTCATAAATAATCATAAAGTCCTCGTGCAAGTGAACCGCGGCTGAGCCCGATTCAAAGCTCTCACACTTCTCAAACCATCCAGGAAACGTGCCTGGGCACGGTTCGGATAGCATAGTGTGAGTGCGCCCTTAAATTTGACTTGGTGAAACCTGCAGACGCCCTGTATGCAGTGCATTAAACGGAAAACAAAAGAATGAATGAAGTGACTCAGTGCTTGTGTTTGTGTAGGTGAACTGTCTGGGACTTGAGGACAGTGTGGACGGAGACCCCTGTAAATTTGCACTGACCTCCAGAACGTCCAATAGCAGCAAAGATGCCTTCATTCTGCACTCGAGCCATCCTGGAGTACGACAAGTCTGGATGCTGCAGATCAGCCAAATCCTGGAGAGCCAACGCAATTTCCTCAATGGTAAAGCAAACATCTCATCTCACTAGTATTGAAGCCTTTTGGGTCATCTCAGACTTATCAACAAGATCAAATATGAAAAAGATAAAGCCATCCTCTCAATCTGTTGTGGGATTCATTCTTAGAAGAAAAAGTCTAATGTAGGTTTTTCTTATCATTAGGGCGGTGTATAGATTCAATATGGATTTGCAAGCTCTCATTTCAATTGGATTAAATTCTTGATTCAGTTCAGAGCTGATTTAGATTGAATACAAGTGATTCTAATATTTGTAATGAACTGTGGACATCGAGAAAGCTTATGAAACTGTTTTACATTTTCCTGGGATCCTAAACTATAACATAAGTCTTGCATGTCCTCAGAATGTGTCTGTGAAGTTTTATCTCATGGATCATTTATAACACCAAGTTTTAACCCATTAACTTCCACTCCAATCAAAACACATTTGTGACCAATTTTTTTTGGTTAAATTGTTCCTGACATGGCTCTTATAACCTACTGTTCATGTACAAAAGGTCAACCAGGCACTTACAGTGTACACAAAGGGTTCAATTATACTTTTTGATTGGATCACAATACATGCTGTATCCAAAAAGCGAGAGTGGTGCCTTTACAGCTTTCGTCTCAGATACTCAGGCAAAATATCTGCATGTGTTTTAAGCTGTTAGCATACATTGCACTGCCCATGCTACACTCAGAGCGTACTCACACTATGGCCCAATCCCAATTTGACCTCTTAGCCCTTCCCCTTACCCCTACCCCTCGTTTTGCGCATGCCTGTGAAGGGGTAGTGGTGTCCTAATACTCTTCAGCTTGAAGGCGTAGGGCTGAGGGCAAGGCGTATACACCCTTTCAAGCGTAGACTTTTCAGGACCATACTTGAAACCAAGGGGTAAGAAATAATTCCCAGAATACCCTAGCAACAGCTGCACCCGGAAGTAAGGAGATTCACAAATTAGTATTTTTTTTGTCATTATTACAAATTTTTACAACAAACAAACATGTTGTAATATATTCATAACCGCGTTCATGTTTTACCGTCATGCTTAAAAAAAAAAAAAAAAACGCTAAAATAAAAACCGCTAAATTTCGCAATCTATTTGCGATCTATAATCCCTAATAATAACTCCTGTACAGCAGTCCCACAACTTTCTGACACTCGATGACATACAAAAATAGAATTGGGATTGGGCCTATGTACAGTTGTCTTGAACTGGGCCAAAGCATGCTTCTCCCCCGAAGGCCCGCACTCACATTACATTCGGGCCTGTTGCGCTGTTTAGTAAGTGCTCTCGCTCAGCACAGTGAAGAATTTTTTTTTTAATTATATCGTTTAAGTCGTTTGATATGCGGTGACGCACAGTCAAATATTTCGCCGAACAGATTAGCCACTTTTGACGCTCATAAACAATCATAAAGCCCTCATGCTGCAGGAATTAGGAGGTTTGCTGAAGGTGCAGCTGTCGTGCGCGGTAAGGAGTTTGCCTCTTTAATAATCTATGATAGTGTGCGTTCATTGAACAGTAAGAATAATTAATAAATCTGTGTGAAACAGTATTGTTATATACATAATAAACATACACAGTGCACACACATATACAGTTGAAAACAGAATTATTAGTCCTCCTGAATTATTAGGCCCCTGTTTATGTCTGCCTAACGGAGAGAAGATTTTTGTCAACACATTTCTAAACATAATAGTTTTAATAACTCATTTCTAATAGCAGATTTTTTTTATCTTTGACATGATGACAGCACATAAAATTTGACTAGATGTTTTTTTTAAATACTAGTATTTAGCTTATAGTGACATTTAAAGGCTTAACTAGGCTAATTAGGCATTTATAATGATGGTTTGTTCTGTAGACAATTTAAAATGAATGCTAATAATATTAACCTGAAAATGGTTTTATAAAAAATTAAAAACTGCTTTAATTCTAGCCGAAATAAAACAAATAAGACTTTCTCCAGAAGAACAAATACTGTGAAAAATTCCTTGCTCTGTTAAACATCATTTGGGAAATGCTGAAAAATTCACAGGAGGACTAATCATTTTGATTGTTTATTATATCAAAACAAACTTTTATTATGTATGCGATTACTTTTGCCCAGCACTAAATAATAGATCATCTCACCACGTGCCTTTCCTCCTGTAGCACTTACATCTCCTATAGACTACCAGAGGAACCACGTGGAGGGTCCTGGTGTGTCAGGCAGCGGTGTACAGGCTGGAGGCAGCGGGGGGCAGATGATGGCCCCTGGAGGAGGAGTAGGGGTCCCGGCTGGGCCGGGTTCCCGTTCTCGTCCGTCCCGTATCCCCCAGCCCTCGCGCTTGCCTCAACCGCTCCGTCATCACTCTCCTGCCCTGGGGCCTGGAGCCCACGAGCATGACGGCCCCGACAAACTATCAGGTATGTCCCCAAGACCTCTCTCCAGGGGTCCCTCACCCTCATGCACCACAGAGCCCGAGCCAAAGGTGAAGCTTCCTGCGAGCCCTCACCCCAAACAGACGGACTCCCAACAGACAGAAAGCCCAGCCAAAGAGATCCCACGAGCCACTGTGGCCCCGCTGGCTCTTGTCAAACCCAGACCTGGAACGGTTTCACCAATGGCCTCTCCGTTAGCCACACCGGCTTTCAAAGACTCCATTCCACCCTGTAGTCCAGGCCCGAAGACTGGCAGCAGCTCGTTTTGGAGCTCAGTGCCCGCGTCCCCCGCCAGCAGGCCTGCTTCCTTCACCTTCCCCGGGGACGCCTGCGACACGCTGAGCCGACCAAATCACAACCAGAGTCAGCGGCACTCCACCCACAGTAAAGACGCAGACCGTATGAGCACCTGCTCCTCTACCAGTGAGCAGTCTATCCAGTCCACTCAGAGCAATGGGGTAAGAGACCCACCCTCCCGGCCCACCGCAGCGCTTCAGCTCTGACTCTCTAACACCCCTGGACTCTGTCTGATTTCTGCTTCTCTAACCTGGTTTTTACTCTGTGGACTTCCAGCAGACCCTTTATGCTCAGAAATCTAACAGTTCTGCTTCTGGCCACAAACTAACTGTGTGTAAAACAAGAACCAGCATTTCCCTGCTCTTCATCTCAACTTGCTTTCTTTCTGAGGGTTTTATAATACTGTATGCTTTTCTTCTGAGAATCAGGTTTAGCTCAGCCAACACTAAATAACTGACGATCACCAGTAATGTTGATGCCCCTTTTCTTTTTCTTTTTCTTCTTCTTCTTTTTTTTTTGAAAGGTCCTGCTAATGCTTGACCATATGTGGCAGTGCAAAGTGACCAGCATTACATTTTACATTAGAGATGCATCGAAATAAAAAATCTGATCCAAAACCAAAAACTCTAAACTGAAAATGATTTGTAAAATTTATTTATTTATTGATTTGATCAAATTACGTACAGTCATGCCTATTCATACCCTTGGCAAATTCTGACTTAAAGTTTTTATTCAAGTGTAAATAAAAGTTGAGAAATATATATTTTGTTCCACAATGTAAGTTCCAGCCAGTTAGTCCAACCATGGTATTTACTGGTGGACGAAGATTCACTGCATGTTCAGTCTTTCCAGTGCACAATGTTCATTTTTTTTTAGAATATTAATATATTTAATATATTAATATATTTATCCTCGTTTTATCTGACTCCAATTATAAAACATTGATTAGATTATTTTGTTTCTTTTAATATTACTTTAGATTATGATGAAATATTCTCTTCGAGTACAATCTCTCAAGCACAAGCATGTCAGTCTTAGTCTTGGTGATCTTCCAAAATGCTAACAGCTTAGCATAAATCTCTGAATCGCAAGCTGCGTCCCAAATGGCACACTGTACACTATGCACTCATGCACTATGTACTTATGCACTTACACACTCAACAGGATAGTACATGTATGTAGTGTTGTCCCAAATGACACACTGATGGTTTTTTTACTAAGCGGAAATTCAAACCGTTTCCCTGATGATGTTTGACTGTTGCCAAATAAGTGAAATAAACAACCGAATTATCAAATAATACCTGCCGTGAGTATTGCCGCATTCACCATTGGGAGGCGCTATAATCACTCTCGTAGGAGAATTTTGCTTTCACTCTCCAAAATAAATAAAGTTATTCAACATGTGCGTCCGATAGCTCCGCCCCTTCCGCTACGTGAGCAAACCTGCGGTCGTTGAGTGCGTGAAGTGGCCATCATTCCTCACTTCATTTTACCAGCTGAATAAGTGCATCATCCGGGTAATTAAAGTGCACTTATTATTTGTAGAGTTTTCAGTGTGAACACACTACTTACACTATTTATACTACAAAATGGCGTAGAATAGTGCGTAAGTATGCGATTTGGGACGCAGCTGCAGTCTCTCCCTTGCCGTCTTAAGCCACGCCTCCTGAAACACGAGCACCACAAAAGAACCCTCTCGTGTGTTAAAAGCGACTAGTGCTTGTCCGGCGGCGTGCAAGCCAAACTGACATGCTATTTTAGAGCAAATATTTAGACTTCATGGTAAACAATATAGGGAGAGACTAGGCGGAATAGCGCTATTTACTTGTGTTTTGTTGTTAAACTTATTAAAATCTACATCGATGCTGTAAAAGGTCCTTCATGAAACTGAAAACTATCTTCTCAATCTTTCATCGAAAGATTTTAGTAGCTGAACAACACTTCTGTGAAGATATAACCCGTTTGTAACAACAACATCTAACGTTACATCAGCTTTGCGTGAAGCTAAAACTTTTAAAAACAGAACATTACCTGTATTGTCGTCTTTCAGGTTGTATTTCAGCTTTAATTCGCCTTTTAGATAAATAAATAAATAAATAAATAAAAAACAAAGCAGCTGCTTGTTATCGTGACAGCAATAAGATGCAATGGACGGCCCATCCCTTTCTCTCCAAATGGCGAAATGGCGGGGCTGTTGTCTTGCTCTACTGTTGCAATGGAACAGTTAATGAGTGTCGCCTCTTGGTGATTCTTAGCTCTTTGATTTAACTCAATAACTTAAATTAAATTATACTGTTTAAAAAAAAAACACAAGCCAATGTGGAGAGGTGTCCTTTTTCCAGCGTTGCCATGACAGCACAGTAATACTATTGCAAGCAGTGTAAATATATATAGTAAAATTGTCCTGTCGGTGCGTTATTTGAGTGGACTTTGCTCTCCAGTGAGCATGTGCAGTTCATGTAAAAATACATTATGTATACGGGCACATGAGCAGAAGATCCACAGAATATCCTTTGCAGATTTCTCCATGTTAAAATGTCTTCTGCTTGTCTAATCGCAGGGCTTCAGATGAAGGGTTGTTTTGGTGCTAAAAAAATTGGCAAAATTGACCTACCGTGACCACATCTGAACACTGTTGAACTTAAACTAATACAAGAAACCTCTGTGGATGTTTATAGTCATGTGACCGAGTACAGATTATTTATTTAACAATCTACTGTAACTAACATGTGTCCTTATCTCACTTTCTCTTCTGTTTCCAATCTTTTCTTCATCTCTTCTGGTAACGCATGTTTCCAATGCAGAGCATTCGCAAGGATAATCGAATAGTGTACACGTTATTCTTGATTTCTATTGGAATTGATTTGAAAAAATAGTCATGATCTGATGCTCAAATTGAAGCCAAATAATTTATTTTATGAAATGATAAGCCTTGATGTTCTGTTTGGTGTGAGGAACCTTTCGACTTGGTTCTAAAAAATGTTTATTAAAGTGTACAGATATAAAAGATGTGCATACAGCCTTTTAATATCAACATTTATTTTATTTTAACTATTTATTTTTTATTTTTAAGGAAAATCTGACACAAATTTTTAAATTACTATTATTTGTTTACACACTTAAACAGAACATGAAGGCTGACGTTTAAAATGTTTCTGGTACTAAGTGTGTGTGTTTGTTTGTGTGTGTCTGCAGAGTGAAAGCAGCAGCAGCAGTAATATCTCCACCATGTTGGTGACTCAGGACTATGTGGCTCTGAAAGAGGATGAGATTAATGTGGGTCAGGGGGAGGTGGTGCAGATCCTGGCCTCCAATCAGCAGAATATGTTCTTGGTGTTTCGTGCCGCTACTGAGCAGTGTCCTGCCGCCGAGGGCTGGATCCCCGGATACGTGCTGGGACACACATCCGCCATCATCCCTGACGCTCCAGACGGAACCATAAAGTAAGAACGGTTACATAACACATGATGTTTGTGTTTTATATAGGCCATATAACTATAAAATCATACACAAGTACTTGTTTACTTGTTACAGCCTAACAGTAATCTTCTGTTGCAGTGTCGACTATTTTGAGGAAAATGTCGGAACCTTTAATATATATATATATATACAACCTAACAAAAGTCTTGTCGTCGAACCCAGTTGTTAGAGAAACAAATAACAGCTTGACTTCTAGTTGATCATTTGGAAAAGTGGCAGAAGGTAGATTTTTTTCTGATGAATCATCTGCTGAACTGCATCCCAAACATCACAAATACTGCAGAAGACCTATTGGAACTAAAATCAGTCAAGTTTGGTAAAGGAAAAATCATGGTTTAGCGTTATGATGTATGGGGCCATGTGAGAGATCTGCAGAGTGGATGGCAACATCAACAGCCTGAGGTATCAAGACATTTGTGCTGCCCATTACATTACAAACCACAGAAGAGGGCAGATTCTTGTGCAGGATAGTGTTCCTTCTCATACTTCAGCCTCCATATCAAAGTTTCTGAAAGCAAAGGAGGTCAAGGCGCTCCAGAATTGTCCAGCCCGGTCACCAGAGATGAACATTATTGAGCATGTCTGGGGTAAGATGGAGGAGGAGGCATTGAAGATGAATCTAAAAAATCTTGATTAACTCTGGGAGTCCTGCAAGCAGGGTCAGCGCGTCCATAGAGGCGACCTAATATCTGCACCCAGGGCGGCAGTATGGAGAGGGCCACGTCCGTGACACCTCCCTCACCACCCGCGTCCTCAGTTATGTCTGCGACACCTCCCTCACCACCAGCGTCCTCAGTTATGTCCGCGACACCTCCCTCACCACACACATCCTCAGTTAAATCCACGCCTGGGGCCGCAGAATAGAGAGGGACGCGTCCGCAACACCTCCCTCACCACCCACGTCCTCTGTTATATCCGTGCCTAAGGCGGCAGAATAAAGAGGGACGCGTCCACGACACCTCCCTCAACATCCGCGTCCTCAGTTATATCCATGATTATAGTTATATATCAATATAGAAATATATTCATTGCCGTTGAGGAGCTAAACCAGAGAATTTTTTTTATGACACATAAAATAAAATGAATAAATATCAAGACATAATGTTCTTCCCATGTCTTCTTGTCTAATCTTCAAAAAAAACAAACCTTCTTAACATTTAACAGTATTCATTTTGGTTAAGATTTTGGTCAACAAAGAATAGTGTTCCAATTCACCCCCTCTCTCTTTCTCTCTCTAAAACTTTGTGAATAAACAGGTGGCCAATGGTGCCCTTCCACATAATCCTGTGACCTTCATGTGACAAACAATTAAACATTTCATATCCACAACAGTAATACAAATCCTACGCTTTTTCCCTCTCAAGAAATCTCCTGTAGGTCAGAACAGTTCTGAAAGAATTCCCAATGTTACATTTACTCATTTAGCTGATGCTTTTTCGTTCAAAGCGACTTACAATTGAGGAGGCATTCAGTGATTCAACTAGAAGAGGCAAAACACAACGAGTGCTACCTTATACAAATCAACTGTTTGTGCTCAGAGAATTTAGTGCTAGGAGTAAAGGAGGTTTAGGAGTGTTTGTTTTGTTTTGAGAGAGAGAGAAAGAGAGAGAGAAGAGTGTTTCTACAGGTGGTTTGTGAAACCCACTTACCTGTGTGAACCTTCATGAATGCAGTGTTTTTTTATTATTATTATTTTTTTTTAGATGGTTATGGAGTAGTTGTCAGAAAGTGGAGCAAATTTGGTTCTGGTCAAAGTGTCAGAGAGATGCGTGGTACAGTATAATGTTAATGTGTTGAATTGTTTCTCAGCAGGAAATCGTCATCATCATGGCACACATCCCTCCGTATTCGAAAGAAGTCAGAGAAAAGAGAAAAGGACAATAAAAAAGAGGCCAAGCTGGAAAACGGCTACCGGAAATCCAGAGAGGGACTGACCAACAAGGTCTCTGTGAAGGTAACACTGAGGGAAACAAACACGGCTTCACAATAAGCATTCTCTGAAAGTTTTTCAACTCGAAACATTCTTCTCCTTTTTTTACAGCTTCTAAATCCCAATTATATATATGATGGTAAGTAGAGCGTCTTTATTATTGCATCATTCTGTGGTTAAAGAGAGAAGTTAAGGGTTTGATGCCATGGATCTTCTTCTCCAGTTCTCCCGGAGTTCCTCGTCCCGCTGAGTGACGTGACCTGTGATAAAGGCGAGTGTGTGACTCTGAGGTGTAAAGTGTGTGGTCGGCCCAAAGCCACGGTCACGTGGAAGGGACCTGAGCAGAAAACACTCACCAACAACGGCCACTTCAGCATCGCCTACAGGTGAAGAGCAGATTGATTTATTTTGATTATTTTGATCATTGGTATTTTAACATTGTGCGATTGTGTATGTTCTTGTAGATATTGACAACAAATTAAGGGATTGTTTTCATTAATGATAATTAAAGTTATTTTTTGTGTGTGTTTTTTTTTTGTCGTTAGCTAAATTTCCATTCCTTTCTATGCTCATTTTAATGGATTGCTTAAAAAAGATGGACATAAATGATAAGAATTCACAAAACATGCTTTTTTTGCAACATCACAAAAGACATTTGTGAGCCTGGAGCACAAAAACAATGACTCACTAGTGACTATATACAGCCACATCGCACTGCAACTTGTGTGATATTGTGTATATAAAACAGTTCAATGGCATAATATACACATAGTATAAAAAAGAAAAGTCTAAATACCTTTTTGTAACTAGGAACTACTTTCTTCCGCCATTCATTTACATCTGCAGCTGACGTCAGAACAGTAGAAGCCGTTACTAGCTCATCAACGTCACTTTAGAGCTAGTGTTTGAATGATTCTCTAGTGCAATGTCTAAAGTGATAACAAATCACGTGATTTTGCTGGCATTTTAAGATTATAAGGCTGAACGGCATGAAATGCCATCAGTCTACAGAGTCTATATCGCCCTGAATTTCTCCGTTGCAAAAAATACAGCACTGCAACATACAAAAGAGAGAGATCGACTTAGAAAGTCACTCACCTGTTTAATAGTAATTTGATCAGCTGTAGTTTGAAATTAAGCTGGTTTTTAGGGCTTATTATGCGGTCTCTGTCGCCGTCTTGTGGATGAACATTGTCGACAGTCTTTGCTTAAAGACGGGCTAATGTGTCTCAGAAATTATAAATATTTAAAGTAGGCAATATCCTAATAAATAAACTGCATAGTTGCAATCTAAACAACTACATTCTTGACAAAAAAAAGCCTCAAAAGTACATTATGTTGTCGAACAGCTGCAATATTGTCAAACTGTAGAGTGTCCACTGCTTGTTGCTGTGTGTGGGTGGAGTAATACACAAGAGTGAAAGGTGAAGTGGCTGGTCGAGTGCTGTTTCTGACAGAATACCGCGGCTATCAGCCAATCAGATTTAAGAATCAGACAGAACTGTTGTATAAACAAATAAATTTGTGTGTGTCAAAAATCATTTGAAAAACTGTTCAGTTGAGACATTTTGTAAATTTCCTTCTGTAAATAGGAGAAAAATTTTTTTTGTATTAGTGATATGCATTGCTAAGAACCTAATTTAGAAACATTTATTTATTAATATTTTTGAGGATAATTTTTATTCAATATTTTTATTTTTTTATTTTTTTTTTACAAATATTTTTATCTTGATCAAATATTGTCATATCATAATAAACTGTACATCTGTGAAAAGCTTATATTTATTACCTTTTTACATAATGCAAAAATCTCAGTGTCAAAAATTGTCACTTATGTGTAGTTTTGTGGTCCGGGATCACATTTATTGAAAAACAATAATAATAATCAAAATCAAAATGTGATTTATATATGTTTTATTGTACATTTATATTGGTTTATTCCATCTAACAGCGTTTTAGTTAAAGTTGTTAATGTTTTTGAATGCATTAATATATAAGAACAATAAAGATTTTATAGATGTCTTCAAGCAAGAACAAAATGCTGTTTAGGATTTGTTTAAATTTTGCATCATTCCTGTTATCACATCGTTTTATCTCATCTAATGCTAAGCTAAGCTAATGCTGTGGTTTTGTGTGTGCGCTCTTGATCGCAGTGAGACTGGTGAGGCCACGCTGCGGATCGTAGGTGTGACCTCAGAGGATGATGGCAGTTACACCTGCATTGCCACGAATGACATTGGCAGTGTGGCATCATCAGCCAGTCTCAGAGTGCTGGGTAAGAACCAGTTCCCATACAAAGCACCATTGCAGTGTGTACAGATTTGCATAAAAGCTTTGAACTTTAGCTTCTTTTTTTCAGTCAGGAAATGTAGTTTTCAGTTCTATGCTCAAAAAAGTGTCATAAACCATCCATGAATGCATTATCAGTACTCCATGAACACGTTTTAGTACCATTACATTTTCTGAAAGTACAAGAGAACTTCTAGACTTTGCAGTTATGCCACATGGAACTTATTTTCTTGAAAATTAAATAAAGTAAGGCTATGAATGAACTTGTTTGGACTGTCTTGTATAGGCACGACCAGCGATGGGATCCGGGTCATGTGGAAAGACAACTTTGAGTCCTTCTACACTGAGGTAGCAGAGCTTGGCAGGTGAGACACAGCTCATTTAATATTACATTTGATGCTCTTATAAAAATATTCATGCCACAATTAGCCTGTCATTAAGACTTTAGATATACATGGAAGGTTTCCTGTTGTGCTTATTTTAAAGTTGCCATGAAATTCAATAAGTAAAAATATATTTGCCCTCATTAATCGAACACCATAACCTTCCCAGCTGTTATCTCAAATACTGTTTCTTGACTTTAATACTCACTTGATGCTCAGTTTGTGTGAGTTGTTCATTTCTATGTGTTCAGCAAGTTGTTAGAGCAGCCGACTCTAGTTGTAGGAGCCATTTGGCAACTGTTCATTGTTCCACTTGGTGGTGCTCTTTAAACAGGCTTTATAAGTGGGAACGAATATTCCGATAACGTGGTGTTGCCCTAGACGGAAGGGAGCACATACAGTTTTGACCACACACAAGATACTTATGCACTTACACACTCAACAGGATAGTATATTTATGTAGTGTCATCCCAAATGGCACACTGATGGTTTTTTTACTAAGCGGAAATTCAAACCGTTTCCCTGATGACGTTTGACGGTCACCAAATCAGTGAAATAAATGACCAAATTATCAAATAATACCTGCCGTGAGTATAACCACATTCCCCATCGGGAGGCGCTATAATCACTCTCGTAGGAGAATTTTGCTTTCACCATCCAAAATAAATAAAGTTATGCTACATGTGCGCCCGATAGCTCCGCCCCTTCCGCTACGTGAGCAAACCTGCGGTCATTGAGTGCGTGAAGTGGCCATCATTCCTCAATTCATTTTACCGGCTGAATGAGTGCATCATCCGGGTAATTAAAGTGCACTTATTATTTGTAGAGTTTTCAGTGTGAACACACTACTTACACTATTTATACTACAAAATGGCGTAGAATAGTGCGTAAGTATGCGATTTGGGACGCAGCTACTTTCACACAGAGCCTCGCACACAAACAATCGCACACACATTCATCCACGCTTTAGCGTGACGGTTTGATTTGTTGGTTTGTAAGTCATGATATGTGGCAGTGTTTGATGTTTACAAACGGAAACTTACCTGGAAGGAAACTTGTGAACTACTGGAGTTTGCAACTGCAATAAACCTAAATATCTGTGGAAACAAGGAAGACTGTTTATTGCGTTTACACTTCATCAGCCAAAGGACCTTCCAGGCCTTGAAAAGTTTTGGAAAAACAGAAAAGTTGTGAAAAAGTCATGAAAATTAGTTGAACAAATATCTGTTTGCTTGAATAAAGGTTAGTTGTCTTTACTTCTTTTATGTCTTTGGCCAAAAACATTGGCTGCTTCCGAATCCGCCTACTATTCAGTGGGTACTGCATTTGAATATAAACGTACTACTCAGCCGTTAGAAAAGTACGTTCTATACAGTATGAATGGGAAAAGTATAAATGGAATTCATACGTACTACATCCACCATTTTGTCATGGTCATGTGCACACATAGGGCTCAACCTGTGCAGTGCACATGCCCTTTTTAGTCTTGGACTAAAAATCTTGTCGGAAGTAGTAAGTCATCCGGGTGCTTCTCGCATACTGATTTTCGAATTCTATGAATTCGGACACACTTCTCGGCTCGCATACTGAATTTAGCGTACTGTATAGTATGGAAGTATGCAGTTTCAAACGCAGCCATGGTCTTACATTATTAGTGCTGTGTAAGCATTATCAAAATCAATGTTATAATATTATATGAAAATACAGTTAAACTAAATTGATTGTTGCGTGTTTTACAATATACTGTAGTAAGTTTGAACGTGTTTAGTTTTTCTTATTTACCACGTATACATAGACATCACATGAACCCTTAAGTCAGGAAAATTTGCTAGAAGGTCTTGGAAAAGTTATAATGCAAATGTCATGGAATTTTAGTAGTAAAATGTGTATGAACTCTGTAACTATATTAGGAGTACAGGTAGCAGATCAATTGCATATAAAGAGATACAGTATATAATAATAATACATAATTTGGATCCACATGACTTGACATCTTTTAAACCCCAAAGGGATAATTGTATACATATTAGCTGCATATTACTGTAGGTAAGTGGTGTCCAAACTCGTTCCTGAAGGGCCGGTGTCCTGCATATTTTAGTTCCAACTCCAATTAAACACACCTGAACAAGATAATCAAGCTTTTTCTAGGTATACTAGAAACTTCTAGGTAGGTGTGTTGAAGAAAGTTCGAGCTAAACTATGCAGGACAGCGGCCCTCCAGGACTGAGTTTGGACACCACTGCTGTAGTTGAACTCCTCAAACTGTTTTGTTACAGCATCAGCTCATAATAGTGATGCCACTGTTTCTCTCTCATAGGGGACGGTTCTCTGTAGTGAAACGCTGTGACCAGAGGGGATCAAAGCGGACCGTGGCGGTCAAGTTTGTCAATAAGAAACTGATGAAGCGAGACCAGGTGACCCATGAGTTCAGTGTCCTACAGAGACTCCAGCACCCTCATCTGGTCAGACTGCTGGACACCTTCGAGACCTCCAGCAGCTACGCACTGGTCCTGGAGATGTGAGAACACGCATACAGTACACACACACACACACAGAGACTCTGAGTTTTCATTCTAACAAATTATGTGCGTTTCCATCATGTTTTTAGAGCAGTCAACTGTAGTATTGGTAACCTAGCAACCAACAGTAATCAAGGCAATTATAATAGAGAGAGTTGATTGGTCATGTGGATACAACATTTGCAATGTTTAATCAGCAAATGTGTCTCCATCTCGCATTATTCATATAAACACCCTACTGAAAAAAACAGCTTAAACCAGCCTAGGCTGGTTGGCTGGTTTTAACTGGTCAACCAGGCTGGTTTTAGAGGGGTTTTGGCCATTTCCAGGCTGGTTTCCAGCCATTTCCAGCCTGGTCTTAGCTGGTCAGGCTGGGAGATGACCAGCTAAAACCTGCTTGACCAGCTAAGCCAGGCTGGGAGCCCAGCCAAAACCAGCTATGTCCAGCTAAAACCAGGCAGATCAAGCTGGTTTTAGCTGGATTTAGCTGGTCATTTTCCAGCCTGACCAGCTAAGACCAGGCTGGAAATGGCTGGAAACAAGCCTGGAAATGGCTAACACCCCTCTAAAACCAGGCTGGTCAACCAGCTAAAACCAGCCAACCAGCCTAGACTGGTTTAAGCTGGATTTTGTCGCCTTGGTAGCACTGACGAGACTGGGCGGGACAGAGAGCCGCGCGAATGGCGCGAGCGATTGTTTACAAGTGTGGAGTCCCGTGAAGGAGCTCCGGATGGAAAGTTTTGTTTTGTGTTTACCTCATAGTTAAAGTTGTTGCACGTCCGCCGGTTCCTGCCTCAAAATAAGTGAGTGTAAGTCACTTGTACAACCAGGAAGTGTTCAGGAAAAGCAAAACAGAAGCGAAGAAACTCGATACAGAGGAACATTTACACCTCACTGCCAGCTAGCGTTTCGGAAGTGTTAATGCAGACCAACAGAGAGAGCGTGCAGAAGTATAAATGCACAGCTACACGCGTTGCCTGCAACGTGAGTTACGCCGGTCACTTGACGCAGTATAAACCAGGCTTCAGTAGCTGAGTTTTCATTCTAATGTGAAGCAAATCTTTTCAAAGTTTGCAAATAAAGAGAATTATGTGAGAATTATGTTTTCTTCAAATTTTGCAAATAATGCAAATTATCTGTGTTTTCATGTTTTTAGAGCAGCCGACTATAGTATTGGTAACCTAGCAACCAGCAGTAATTAAGGCAAGCATAATGGAGAGAGCTGATTGGTCATGTGGATGCAACATTTGCAATGTTTAATCAGCAAACGTGTTTCCATCTCACATTATTCATACGAACACTTTTTCACTCCTTTGAGACCTCCAGCAGCTATGCACTGGTCCTCGAGATGTGAGAACACACACACACACACGCTATACACGCACACACTCACACGCTCTCAGAGGCTGGGTTTTCATTCTAATGTGAAGTAAATCTTTTCAAAGTTTGCAAATAAAGCAAATTATTTACGCTTCCATCAAGTTTTTAGAGCAGCCGACTGTAGTATTGGTAACCTAGCAACCAACAGTAATTAAGGCAAGCCTAATGGAGACAGCTGTCAATAAATTCAATATTTTTCATCTCCATCACTCATTTCTCCTGCAGTTTCTTAACCCAGGCCGCTGATGTTCCTGTGTGTGCGTTTGTGCAGGTCTGATCAGGGCCGTCTGCTGGACTACATCGTGAGCTGGGGGAATCTCACTGAGGAGAAAGTGGCCTTTTACCTCCGGGACATTTTAGAAGCTTTGCAGTACCTGCACAACTGCAGAATAGTCCATCTGGATCTAAAGGTCAGTGTTCATCTTTTATTCATTTGTCAGCATTACACAGGATGTTCCCAATTTTTATAATAAATAAGAATAAATGAGGCTTTTTTAATATATACAAGTACGTTTTTGATCAGAACATTTCACTTTTCCTTAGTTTTAGTATGTTCCATATAAACACATTTCTTTGACCGTAGTTGTTTTAACTACTATTGTAAAGGCACAATATGTAAATTTCACCACTAGAGGGTGTGTATTCACAACAAACAAAGACATATTTTGATGACTGTGACTGAGTGTGGAATCATGGGAGTTGTGGTCTTCATAGAGTTAGCCGGCAGCTAGCTTTGCAACTCTCACATGGTCGCACTCTGAAGCTTAGCAGGGCTGCGCCTGGTCAGTACCTGGATGAGAGACCACATGGGAAAGCTAGGTTGCTGCTGGAAGTGGTGTTAGTGAGGCCAGCAGGGGGCGCTCAATCTGTGTGGGTCGTAATGCCCCAGTATAGTGAAGGGGACTCCATACTGCTCAGCGATACCATCTTTCGGATGAGTTGTTAAATCGAGGTCCAGACTCTCTGTGGTCATTAAAAATCCTAGGATGTCCTTCAAAAAAAAAAAAAAAGTGTAGGGGTTCAACCCGGCATCCTGGCCAAATTTGCACACTGGCCTCTGTCCATCATAATTGGCTTTGTCACCTCTCTACCAATCAGCTAGTGTGTGGTCTGGCGCAATATGGCTGCCGTCGCGTCATCCAGCTGGATGCTGCACACTGGTGATGGATAAGGAGATTCTCCCAATGTGTAAAGCGCTTTGAGTTATTATTATTATTATTATTCAGTACATCCTACAGGACTCTTGCAGAAATCATGTTGATGGATGACCTAAAGTATTCAACACTTAATCATGATACTGTAAAGCAGAGTAAAGGTTATTGCGCACAGAATCTGAGATATTTGTTCATAATAAAGTTCAATATCAGTCGGTTCACAGAAATTGTTGGTCTTTCTTCTCAGTGGCTGTTTTCTTCTTTCTGATTGGTCAAGACTCAAATGAGGCAAAATTCCACACGTTTAATGCAAATATATCATGAATGTAAACATATCATCGACCAGGGGCGCCTGCAGGATTTTATTCCTAGGTACGCACAAATCCAGCACCACCCCCTCTAATCTTTGACATTATGACATTAAAAAATTTGCACATATATGACAGAAGATTGTGAAACATTTAGTAAACCATTAATTAAATCCTTATTTTCCACTGACCAAAAATCATCCTGCCGCACAGTTGAGTATTGGACGGGCTCAAACAACAATATAAATTGTGTATTTTTCTTGGAAAAAAAAAATCTTTTTACAACGAATTTTGTATATAGTTTGTCTCTGTGTTTAAGTATTTTTCTTGTTCAGTTTACATCTAAATAAAAATAGAAGAACGAAAACATTTGAGGTGAAGTGCTTCAAAACAGATCCGCTATGCTTCAACAATGCCGAATCGCGAACTGGATTGTCAAATAAAATTAAAGTGAAGTTTTCAGTTTCGGAGAAGCCTATATTAAACTGTTTAGCATGTTGCGCCGGTCAATTACAATCTAATTCATTTAATCAAATAATTTTAATAAGCAGGAAAGGTGTTTTTCAATATTCGCAACAGCAATGAACATGTTCCCACATTACCTCGGTGGAACAAACTCGGTTGGAAGGGTGAGAAAACCAACGCAATCTCACGGCAATTAATGTAGATGTCTGCTTATTATGCCAGTCAGTCAGATAAAATTGTATAAAACAACTTGAATGGTTCCGTTCCATGCGAGGAGGCTGCGCAGCTGCTGGATCTGATCTGTCTGATGAAAGACATATTTTCCCTGGCTCAGGTGCTGATGATGAGACTGCGGTGTGCACTCCGTGTGGGGAATTAGTATTTGTCTCATTAGATTTAGGCCTTTTGGCAAATGTCTCAATTAGGTTTATCTGTTTTAAAGAGCATTTACTCATTTTGAACCTTGTTTTAAACAATAGCTATCTGAATTGTAATTGTTAGTGTGCAGAAAAACCGCCTGCAAAACTAAAGCCAATAGATTTCTTTACTCATCTCCCACCATGTAAGTACATCGCTACACACTTTAATGCACACAAACACACACCTTTATTCATTCTCATTCCTTCTTTGTCAATATATCATAGTGTATAATGTTTAATAATCCATTTGAATTATGTGATAAATAAATAAATAAAGCGCCATTAAATCCCGCCCTCTCATGGTAGGTATGCACATTGCGTACAGCCGTATGGCTGCAGTCGCCACTGTTATCGACGGTAATCCACCTCTGTGCTTACGTTTGTATTGACTGTGTTCTGGATCAGCTGCAACTGTCTGTCTTTTTGGGAAGGCCAATGAGGGGTCCATCACAGTAATCCATCCTGCTGCTGATAAAAGCATGAACAAGGGTCTCTCCTGGAAACAAAGCGTGTAATTCATGCAATGTTTTTGAGGTGATAGTACTCTGGTTTAGTTACTGCTTTGACATGACTTCTGAAACTCCGATCTGACTCCTGAATAAAACCAAGATTCTTGACCTTATTTTTGTTGTTTGAGCCTTAGTGCCAGGGTGCGCATTCACCTTGAGAACCTCATTCCCAAACGCAGTGACTTCAGTTTTCTCTCTGTTTAATTGAAGAAAGTTTTGGCACATCTAACTTTAGAGGTTCAGTCAAAGTGCAGACTAGTCAGTTTGAGCTTGCTCTTTTTGTGTGTGTGCCTCATTTAAACGTGACGCTAATGTTGTGTTCTGTGTTCAGCCTGAGAATCTGGTGGTGGAGCAGAGCCCGTCTCAGCCGCTGGTCAAGCTGACGGACTTCGGTGATGCTGTGCAGCTCAACTCCACGCCGTACGTTCACCCTCTGCTGGGGAGCCCGGAGTTCGCAGCCCCTGAGCTGGTCCTCGGGGACCCTGTCTCTCTGTCCTCCGACCTGTGGAGTCTGGGGGTCCTGACGTACGTCATGCTGAGCGGAGCATCTCCGTTCCTTGATGAGAGCGTGGAGGAGACCTGCCTCAACATCTGCCGCTTGGACTTCAGCTTTCCTGATGACTACTTCCAGGGAGTGAGTCAGGCGGCGCGTGATTTTATGTGCCTGCTGCTCCGGATGGAGCCATCCAAACGTCCACCAGCCACCTCATGTCTACAGGAGCCCTGGTTGAGAGCCGGCGGGGGCCGACGCTCAGCCGAATGCATCGATACCTCCAGACTGATCTCCTTCATCGACCGACGCAAACACCAGAACGACCTGCGGCCTCTCACTGGCATCAGAGCCTTCCTGCAGACTCGATTACAGCCCAGGATCTGACCCAATGAAACAATCTCATCCTCTTTCTGACGCCTTCAGTCCTGAGCCAATCAAAATGTGTGAGCATATCAGAGCCTTGATTTGCTGCTGCTGCTGCTGCTTCCTTTCCAGACTTGTAAGCAGAGATTAAAACCATTTAAATATAAATATATATATATATGGAAATCAAATATTTCTTTGATTTGCTGAATGATCAACAAATCTACGTAAAAGGACTCTTATTTTGTGTGTTACCCGCACAAGAGGTTTTTCAAGGAAAGCGATGCAAATGCCATTTTAGCGCGGAGAACAACTTTGTTTTGCCCTTTTGTTTTGCCTGAGCCAGACAGCGAGCGGCTGCTTCTCTGCTTCTATTTCGTTCGTTTTTTCTTCCAGTGTTCGACATTTCGTAGAGCGCGTTAATAAACCACATTTTCAGGTACATCTTTCAATAAAAACAAAAAAATAACAAAAAACATGAATGAATTTTAAGTGAAAGCTTGTTTTGGTCTACTAGTGTAATTAGTTGCTTAATTCAACAACGACAATGATGATGATGATGATATTTAGCTGCAAAATTTTTACCGAATGCAAGTTAAATTTGTTTTGTTGGTAACTTTATAATAACTACACACTGTCAATCATTTATTAAGCATTAGCAAAGAGTGAATTCATTATCTGTTAAGCATGAACTCGACATTAATAGATGTTAGTAAGCAGTTTATAAATACATTTTCTTGACTTAGAACATGCTTAATGATTGTATTTTCATGCTTTGTTAATAATTATATTTAAAGCAAAGGTCTCAAACTGGATTCCTGAAGGGCCGCAGCTCTGCAGTTTTGCACCAACCCTAATCAAACACAGCTGATCCAACTAACCAAGGTGTTCAAGTCTACTAGAGTCTATTAAGCAGGTGTGAGATGTAGGTAGTTGCAGCTAAACTATGCAGAGCTGCGGCCCTCCAGGAGTTGAGTTTGAGACCACTGATTTAGGGATCGCATTTATTACAAACTAGATGTTTAAAAATAGGTTGTGTTTTCATTCTTCATTAACTAATTAAACGTTCATCATTAAGTTCAGTATTGCGTTATTTACAAACCCTTTGTATTTAAGAGTAGTTAATGGCTTTTACAATCATTCAGAATGAGCTATTAAACGATCAATAAACTATGCAAATCAACATTTAAATATTTTATTATTGGTTCGTGATTGGTCCGGCAGATTGGATGATTTTAAGGGCCCATTTACTTTGGGGGCCCCCAGAGATGTTATTAGGGGCCCATGAACCCAGCCCCAGGCTTTTCATTTTAGGCTGCGACCCCCAATTTGAGTGCGCACAAGGGCGTCGCTTATGGGCGGGAGAAGTTTGGAGTATTCAAAGAGCCTACGTACCTTGGGGGCCTCCAGAGATGTTATAAGGGTGTACGAACCCAGCCCCAGGCTCTTCAGTTTGGTCTGCGACTTGCGATAGTTTGTTCCCATGAGCAGCGTATATTTGAGTGCGCACAAGAAGTTTTGCGCGGGAGCAGCGTATATTTAAGTGCGCGCAGGGGCGTCGCTTATGGGCGGGAGAAGTTTGGATGATCCAAAGAGCCCATGTACCTTGGGGGCCCCCAGAGATGTTATTAAGGGCCCACGAACCCAATAACATAGCAGGATATCATGAACAAATATTGTGAAGCCTTTAAATGATAATATTTACCTTTTCATATTAATAGTTTAAAGTCCTTTTTTCAGCTCGCTCTTATTACATGAATGTGCTCTCGACTTGTAATACTGCGCTCAAGACGTTTGTCAGTGAAAAAACGCCATACTAGTTTGTAAAAAATGCGATACTTCAAATCAATGGTCTCAAACTCAAACCCTGGAGGGCTGCAGCTCTGCACAGTTTAGCTCCAACCACATCCAATTCATACCTGCGTAATAGTCCCTAGTCGTCTTGAACGCCTTGATTTTTTTGGATCAGCTGAATTGAGACCTACGCTTTAAATCAGTGTTTCTCAACCATGTTCTTTGAGGACCACCAGCACTGCGTGTTTTGGATGTCTCTTTTGTCTGTCACACCCATTTCAGCTCTTTCAGTCTCTGATGAGGAGCTGATGATCTAAATCAGGAGTGTTTGGTTAAAGAGACATGGAAAATCTGCAGAGCTGGTGGTCCTCCAGGAACATGGATGAGAAACACTGATCTAAATTAATAATTAACAATTAAGTATGAAAATACAGTCATTAAGCACGTTATAAAGTCAGAAATACAGCCTTTGTATCTGTTAGAGTTAATACTTAACAAATAATGAATGAACTATTTGCTAATGCTTAAATCATTCATAGTGTGTAGTTAAATAAGTGTTGCCAATTTGTTTATTTACTACGACTAGAACAAATTGTGTTGTGCAATCTACAGATGTATACGCCTTATTCTATACTACACGTCTGACGTTTCTCTTTTTAGTTTTTAATAACGATGGCGGCGAAAGCCATACGGCGGCAGGACAACATCGAACAATGACTGAATACTGTAAACGCACTCCTTTCTGGTTCTTTCCATGTGCAATGTTGCGGCTTCGACAGTTTATGCGACTATTTATTGAAGACATCCGTTAAACCTTTAATAAAGACGTAGAATCAGTTCTGCTGTTATTTATTGAAGCTGGTATTTTCGGTTAAGTATTAAACGCCCTGTCCTCTTTACTTGGCACTTACGCTAGTCACTTTTCTGTTGAGATATATGCCAAAGCTCTCCATGCTTTATGAGAATTAGTTTTGTTTATTTCTGTTTCCGACACTCTTATAACGCTTCATAGATGTGACCGGTTGTTTACATAGCTTTACATTGGGATGAGTTGTTTAGTTTTGTAATTCGGTGTCCGTTTTATTGACATTTCAAAGATTTGTTTCGTTTTTTGATTGCGAAGCGCACCTCCAGTTTAGACTAGATATGGAAATAATTTCAGAATAGCAGGATGTTATGAACAAATAATGTGAAGCCTTTAAATTATGATATTTATCTTGTCATATTGATAGTTTAAAGTCCTTTTTTTTAGTTCCGAGGTTAGTCGTAAGATTCGACTATTTTTTTTTTTATCGTCACTGGAGTGATATTGCAGTCTGTAAACATTGGCCTGTTGCTCGCGTTCTCCATCAGTTTTTTTTATGTTCATTTTTATATTTTGAGGCGTATGAAATGTTTCAAGCGGTGGACGGCGACACTTTCCCGGTAGGAATTGTTGATTTTCATCTGTACAGACCCATATCATGTCCCCTAATTTATTTGTCATTGTAAAGTTGTACAGATGCCTTTACAGCGTGGGAACTTGGACTGGATACTTTTTTTTCCTCTCTCTCATTGAATGTCTGATTTTAGTTCTGATGGCATTGTATTTTTAATGTATGTATTATCATTTTAGACTCATTTTATTTTGATTATTTTATACTTTAGCTTTTTTCTGCATGTGTATATTTCTTTGTACAGAAACCATAAGTGTTTTACGCGATATGTGCTGTAAATATCTTCAGTTTTGTCATCAGTTATTTTGGAATTAAACATATGGAACATTCTTGTGCTTGGTTTATTGTTTTAATTTGCTGAGTTTTTTTTTTTAGATTATTAATAATAGAGACGCTTCACTCAAAACTGAAAATTCTGTCATGATCTGCTCTGGAGCTGAAGATCTTTGCCCAAACCCGAAGGAACCCGATGCTTAAATTCTATCATTTTAGATGGGGCCGGGCTCGGGCTTGCGTGGTAAAGATGTGAAGAAAATAATCAAATCGTTTATGACAGCATCCAATCCCAACCCTGCAAAGGTGAAACAAACGATGACGGAGATGTGTGAAAGAGCAAATTTTGCGGAGTAAGAAAGTGTACAGCAAGCTGACAGGGAAGATGACGAGGTCACCCGCTACATTGAAACCGCTGTCATGGAAAATGTAACGAATGTTAAAACACAATCTTACGGCAATTCGTAACTTTTTGAATTAGTGGCTAATTCGTATGAATTCATACAATCTAATTTGTACAATTTACTATGATTTGCTCATCCCCTATTGACGGTTGGTTTTAGGGGTGGGGTTAGATGCCACGCCTCCTTTTTAAAATTGGACAATTTCGTACAATTGAACTCGTACGAATTAGCCACTAAACTGACAAAACTAAAAATACTTACGTTTTCTCGTGAGATCAGACTGGATGTTTTTGGCTGGTGGAAGATGAACAAATAATCCTACCCAAAACATGCCAAATTAGCCTGATTGGAACTCTGCATCCCGGCCTGTAGCAGCAGCAGTAGTGAAAGGGTGTTCAGTGCTGCTGGACGCACCATCAGTGAGCGCAGGACCCCGCTAAAGCCATTTACAGTGGATTCAATAATGTTCCTCTACAAAAACACATAGCCTAATCTAGGTGAGTAAAGGATTTTCAAATTATAACTAAATATTAATTTAATCATAACTGCATAATGTAGACGGAGTTTCTGTAGGCTAGTGTTGGCATTATTCTTTCATTATTCAGCTTCACTGTGACATTAAGGCTGAGTTGTGAAGAGAAAAGGTGAAACAAATCCCGCAGAGCCTTTATCTTAATTTCGTTAAGGCCAAATACATAATTTATATTTTATTTTAAATTAGTTTGTTAGGAAAGACTACTTTTCATTTGGCGTGTCGGCCAGTTTAAGGGCTAGGTGAATGTACAGCACCTAGGCCTATTTAGAGTGCTGAGATGTTACAGAGGACTTATTTTATTTTTTTGTTCCAACTTCTTAGTGGCCTATAGCCTACGTTTGTTAAGAGTAAATTGTTAAGACATGTATAAACGGCTCATCCTTGAAAAAAGGCAAAAGAGATGTGTGCATGTGCACATTTGAATAATATCGGGGTGTAAACTGGTTTGTTCGGGCTTTTTAAAGATGTTAATCAAAATGTACTTGTTGGGCTCTGGCTGAATTCTGTCAGGCTCGGCCCTGTCGTAGACTTATAAGGCCTGATTGCAGCTCTAATCTGCTCTTTTTTCACTTATAACAAACCTACTAGAGTTTCTTTTGTCTAATGAAGTTATTTTTTTTTAAATGTTAGAAACCAGTAACCATTGATATGCGTATTATTTGTTGTTCACTTTGATTGACATTCTCCCTTTGTACGTGTCATAAGAGGGGGAAAGCCCCGCCCATTAGTGACCATCTTTCCTTAATGAGCACAGGAGGTTAGTCTTGTTTTTGGATCTGCCAATATGACACAGGCATTTGTAGCTCTGCCCTCTTTTGAAAAGAGCACAATTTAGTTTGAATTTAAAGCGACAGTCACCAAAATGACACAATTATGATCAAAGCTTAATGCTGCGTTTTCACCAGACGCGGAATGCTTGAATAAGTCACCCTATTTGCATGCAAATAGACGCATGAACCTTTTGAGTTTACTTGCCTCATTTGCCTGTGAAATTAAATTCATGTCATAAGTGGGGTTTTTGTCTGCCCAGTATCTCTAACATCATTGCTATGTGGCTAACATGTATTTCATTGGGAGAATAGTTGTGCTTATGTGCTTTAGGAAGGCTGAAAAACAGCATAGGTTTGTTTGGCGCTGTGTCTGGGTCCACCTTTCAGAGGAGTTTCAGTAACTCCTCCAGAAACTATAAATGGATGATGGAAGCTTTCAGTGGTGCTTCTGGCTCAGCCGAGCTCAATTTGATAAACTGTTGT